CAAAACTTTCTACTCCAGGTGACGGTCTTTTTACTCGTGTTGCCACAAATCTTCACTTTTTCCAAATTTTTTTTTTTGTTATGTAACCCTGAATAATGCTTCTCTAAATTGTTATCAAAATTACAAAACCAGCTGCTCCAACTTGGATGAAAAAAATACATTGTTCCCAAAAAAATTTTCAAAATAAAAATTTTGCCTAGTTTAAACAGACTGTACTGAAAAAAAATTGTACTACGCGAGTGTGGCAAGTGACGTCATAATTTGGCGCATTTAGTAAGGATTCTAAAATGGTATAACACTTGGTAAATTCTTGCTGTAATTGTCGACAATTTTTGGTTTTTTGGAAATAATCCCGTTTTTAACTTTATCTACCTTGGTTAAAAATTATTATTCTAATGTGCCCAAAATTCAAGTTTCTGGCTTGAATGAGGTAGAGAAGCCATTTTAAAAGGTATGAGGGCCATCTTACCAAGCAGGGATGTTAAGGATATCCGTAACCGTAACCGAAACTATCGGATATCCGAAATAAAAAAATATCCATAACCGTAACCGAAACTGATTCAAAAGGAGTCAAAGTGGAGTGAAAGTAAAAATCGTTCAAAATTTTAAGGAAATAAAATATTTTGATTAACTTTTGTGTAAAAACTGCAAGGATTCTGGGGGTTTTAAGAGTTGGGGTGAACAGCAGCACTACTTAAGTTGCCGATATAAACAGAAAACCAGGAATAATTGAAAAATTTTGGTCTTGGTAATGTAAAATATCATAAGGGGTGTCAATTTTCGTTGAATTTCATAATTTATTGTGTAAGTAAAAAAATAATTTAGATAGATTTTTTTCCTTATTTTTCCTAAAGTAGTCATGACTATGTCCATCCTGTGGCGTCGGCTTATCCTTGAATTTTGGGACACGTTGTATACATAGTTGGTCAGGGAATTTTGAAAAAATTGTCAGGGAAAGTCAGGGAAAAGTCAGGGAATTTTTTCGAACATTTGCAGTGGACACCCTGGTAATTTAAACAAAATAATTAAAAAAATATACTGTTGGCAATTATTTTTTTAATATTTAGAATTAAATTAAAAAATAATGTCATAATTACGCATTTTTTTCCTAAAATAATGATGATATTGATGCTTTTTTTTCCGTTCCTTTAAATCTGCCGGTGTGTGTATTTACAACAGGTTGACGGTTGAAGTCAGTCTTCCTACGTGATCGAAGCCATGAAATGGAACTAGTTTTTCATTAAACAAAATTTTGTTTTTCTAGGTAGAATTTCCTAACGAAATATTTTCATTTATATTATACAAAGGACCCGGTAGAGCAACAAAAGTTTATTATGTGCGGGCACGAAGCTGCGCGGGCGCAGACTCCGCTAACGGTCGCGCTCGCGGCGACTGCCCACGCGCACGAGTCACGTCCACTCTGTCCGTGCACATTTGCATCCATTACTTATTACACGATGACCAAAGCTTTGTTCTTTATAGCCCATATAACAAAACTTGACATCAACTCTTTTTGTTGCATAGTCGCCCCCTAACATGACGAAATAAGGTGCCACAGTGCTTGATGAGCCATGTCGTCCATACGTTTAATTAATTTAACATCATAAGTATTTGAATATTTAACTTAGATTTTTTAAGTTCATGTACCGTTCTTATGTCATTCTTGTCTGAAACGTGTTGACGCATCGTTCCAGAAGTTTTGTATTAATAGAATTTGAACAAAATACCTACCACGTTCGGCCCTTTAATACAGAACATGTCCCTAGCCATTCTACATATTAAAACAAGAGTATAAAGCTGATATTTTGCTGCATCTTTCGATGTGTTTCGCCATAAAATCATGGACACCAGAGCCTCGTTTGATGATCGAGACGGGCACGTCACTAGCGCCGGATCGCGACCTGCGCCCGCGTCTACATCACGCTCTGTTCGCTACTTAAATATGTACCCTATCACAAGGCAATACTAGTGTCGCTCTCCGCAATCCTGTGACGAGATGAGGAGATAAGATCGCGTTGATACGAGCGGGTCTTTCAATTATTCAAAAGCGGAACGGAACACTTGTATAGGACATGTTTTATGTCAGCCTCCCTCTAAAAAGCGCACGTATCGCATTCGCAAGCGGGCGGCTCTCGTGATAGATGCCGATTAAAATCGGAATATACAGCATCCTGGCATCATAAATACGTATGACTAAAAGCATCATCGTTATTTTTGAGTGGCAGAATAAGTTTGCAACGTTGTTCCTTAAAAACACATTTATACACACCACTGTGTATTCAATGGCACTGCATATGAAATGGTCCTTCGAGCCAGATAAATCTAATGTAATTATTTTAGATAAAATCTAATTAAATAGGCGTACCTATTGAAGAAAGTATTGGTGTTGGTAGTTAATTCATCTTCATTTTACTTTTATTATACGTGAATAAAGAAATTATTACCTGTCACACATTAATAATTCTTCCTAATGCATATTTTTCTCTGAAAATAAGTTATTAAATTTATAAATGTATAGAAACCAGTCAATGCCAAGAAAAAAAGTCACGAGAAAATTTTCTCAAGAAGCATGCATAAGAAATGCGGTGTAAATAATAACAATTAATTAGCTTTCATGATGATACCTACTCAGCATCATTACGCTTAATTATTTTTTTACAAGCGTTCCTATAATAGTATCCACATTTCCACAGTCCACAAAATTGAATAAATTTTGTATTTTACTCTTAGAAGCAAGTTTTGTCTGCGGGCTTCTACTATTGCTCTCGATTTTATAAATATTCACTGGCCTATGATAATGTACCATACTTTTATTTTACCAGACAATAAATTCTTATAGGAAGTGTCATCATCATTATCAACAGTCATGAGTCTGTCTGTTATCCTAGTATTTTTTCTACATTACCAATAAATAATTCTCATGTTTTTAGACCAGTAACTCAGCTTTTTCTCTAAAGGTAACCCTAAAAACGAACGAGTTGCATAAGTTTTAGCATCGCTTTTCAGATGCAAATTTTTATTTCATTTTGATTCACATTAATGTTCCATAAAAATTAAATCTGCGAGTGGCTGCAAAGCGGAATATTTATCTAAAAGGAATGTGAATGGGACATTATTTTAGTGCATTTGCATACGAAACGAGTCGGCTGCCGGCCGGCGTGGCTCCGGTCAGCGGCCAGTTCCGCGGTCTGAATAAACTATGGCGAAATAAAGAAGTCTTGGTCGCGTCCGTTTTCATTTGCCGCTGTGGAAATAATCTCGTGCTAACGATTTTTATCGTTATTTTTAAACGCCCTCCTCCGAGGGGCGATGCAGCGACTCCTTTTTTGCCCTCTCCAATTTAAATATTTACATGAATTTCCTGAATTTCAGCATAACTCGTGAATTTCCTAAAAAGACGCGGAATCTAGTGCAATCGAAAGTTTGGTCACACTGCTCATGTGAAAATTGACCTAGTTAAGTTAGGTCGACGAGTTTTCCAAATGCACTATAGAATTAGGATGCATGTTTATGACTACAGAGTGAGCTAACGCTCGGGTAGTGATAAAAATATGCTTTTATTTACATGCCGATTGCCATGCGAAGTTGTGCAGTCATACATAAATTAGTCATGCATTAGTATGTGAAACGTAAGTAGGTCTGCTGAATGCATTTTTAAATCGTGAAACCCGCCACCTGTCCGGTTCAAAGCGACATTTCTAGTTTCTATAATTTTCCATTCGACGTTATTACCCGTATAAGGTGTGCCTTACCATTCTATTAATGCGTTTTCATAATGATCAAAGTAGAGGGCATGGGCTGTTTCCACCTGCGTGAAACGAACAAGTCTTTAATAGATATTGAATATTGAAAGTTTATTGAGAACATAATCTCAATAAACTTTGAAAGTGTATATGAAAAACTATTCAAACATGAGGGACGACCAATTAACCTATCAAAAATATGAGTTTATATTAAAAAAATGTTTAAAGATTTTTTAAAACAGTACTTATGCGCTCTAAGTCGATATCATTCCAATATACTGAGAGGCAAAACCATGGTTTTTTTTACCCGAATACTTTTATTAGCAAATATCGGTTGTCCATTCTGCTGAGAGTGGCAAAGGCATCAAAACACAAGCAGCCTAGACGGCGGCGCCGCGCGGGCTCGAAGTTCAAGAGCACGCCCCCTCCCCCCGGGCTGCGCTTCCCGGTTGCGGTTGATGCTCTAATTGTAATGCTGTACATTACATTGCTTTCGATGTAGCCAGTAAACCTGCCTACTTATTAGTTCCAAGAATAAAACTACATGGGTACTTGGTGTATGCTTCACGTTCAAAAGGTTTGTCCACAGCATTTGCCTTTGCCCATAGTTGTCATCGAGAAACTGATTCCTATAAAATCTTTTAAAAAAATTACAGTATAAAAAAACAAATACTTTAGGGTTAGAACACCAAAATTGTCAAAGGAAATCGAATTAAAAAAGATTTTTTTCAATTTTGAACAATATTTTGGCACATTAACGTTGGGTTACCGTATTTAACAATTAGCGAGTGATAGTGACCTTACTCTGCAGTGGCGCTAATGCGGTACCCCTTATTAAATTACTGGGTTGTCAGCGTCAAACAGTTTGATGCTCATAGTAACCAAAAGTTTGTGTTGTAAATTTTTTTGGTGTCCTGACGCTGACTGTACAAACGATGAAATGTCAGACACATCTTACTTCTTCTTATCGTGTCGAAAACAAACTTACACAGTGTCAGCCCAAAACTCCCAAAAAACTCCGCTACAAGAGTGGCGTTGTCAGCAGCGTTAATCAAATCATCCTGCGTGCAGTTGCTTGGGCACACAGGCAGGGCACGACATCATGTTCTTCATCGACTGGGGAACAAAACGGGGCCTCCACTCCATGTTAGAGCCATCCAAGAATCCCCAGATTTTCTTAGGTAGTTTTAGGATGTGCTGCCATTTTTTCTACCCTACGGACTGCTACAATTACTCATATGTTTGTCATTGTCGCAGGCATGGGCGGTGAGGCGTGCGCGTGCGCGCCGGCGCCGCCGCGGCTGCTGCCCGAGCCGGAGCCGGACCACCTCTACGACCACCACTCCTCCGAGGAAGAGCTAGAGGTAACACACTCGCACATCTCTCTGGACATGACTCGCAAACATGCATATGCATCATATTGCCACTGTACACGGAATGATTAACAGCTGCGGTTGTTGGAAGCAGACGATGATCATGTGCATTTTTTCGGTAATATTTTTACTTTTGCAATGGTTCTTAATTTTACCCAAGTTGCCTCTCGTCTACTTCCTACATCTACAGAAAAGAAAACTGTTTGAGAAAGAATGGTTTATTTTTTACATAGTTAAAAATACGTTTCTTACACAGAAAAGAAAACGTTTTTCCAAATACTGTCATATCTGGAAAATATGTTTTCATTGTAAAGGAAATCAAACTATAAGTTACTTGCAAAATAATTTGGTATGGAAGCGTATAGAACTATGGTATGAATGCATAGATACAATAGTGGACGTATTTATATTTTTGTGGCATACTTTGCACATTGTGTGACGTCAAGCATGTGTCAAGTGTTGTGCAGTGAGCACGTTGTCCGCTAAAGTCGCGCGCGCATTAACCGCAGAATACTGATACTCTCATGGCCAAGGGCTGGCTACTTTTTGTTATTTCTAGAATAATTACACTGCATTGACTGTGTAACTATCACCCGGTATTTGTTAACGTCTTCTTACAGCAGCTTGCTATTATTTTAAGTCATGAATGTGGAATTTATTATAAACTGAATACTTTTTTATTGGTATTAATCTTAATTCAGGATTAATGAGTGAATACTTAAATAAATATTTTCCAACCTCATTTGCTTCAAAAAACATAATTGTTAATTTCAAAACTACTAGTTACGAGAACCGAGCTTCGTGTTTTTTACTTACTCGTATATTCTTTTATTGCAAAAAGCTGTCAGCCCTTCTATTCAATGTGCCCATATAGCGTCGTGCATTCCGCCCGCAGACACTCATGCGCATCCGTAACACTGACTGGCGAGACACATACCTGATACCTCTCACTACAGACAACTCGCATTTAATTAATAAATTGTTAAAGAAATTATTATTTAAAAAGTTACAAATGCGCATAGCACTATAAAAACCTCTATCTGACCCAAACCTCTTATCTTGATGTCACGTTCATCTATATATATAAAAGAAAGTCGTGTTAGTTACTCCACTTATAACTCAAGAACGGCTGAACCGATTTAGCTGAAAATTGTCAGGGAGGTAGTTTAGAGCCAGGAGAAGGACATAGGATACTTTTTATCCGGTTCGAAATTAAAAAAAAAGTCTTCTTATTTATTGCCATTAAGGCGGAACAAAGTTCGCCGGGTCAGCTAGTTATTAATAAATCTTCGATATGCAATTGTTTTGGAGTTAGTACGAGTACCTGTAAGTCGGCTTCGTATTCGTGGAGAGGAGAGAATAGAAACAAGGAGAAGAATAGAAGGTAGAATGAAAATGCCAATTCTTTAGACATGAGACTCATACTCTCATCTCATCCCCTTTGAACAGGTCAGTCATGCTGTTCAAAACATAGTAAACTATGAGTAGGTATACGTTTTAGGTCAGTGTTCGCTTCAGCTTATTCAAACGGTTGAGCATGGTCTCCCAACATGGCTCTCCTAGGCCCATTCGCGACTCGTTAGTGTAGCTGCCCGTGCTGTTATTTAGTACAACTTGTTTTTGCCTATCTGCTCTCTTTCGATGAAAGCATGTGCTCTCTATGGTCTTGTAGATTGTGGATGCTACACCTGTCATGTAAGGCGGGGGTCTACAGATTTTAACGCCAATCTGTGTTAATATAGTTTTATCATCTTAACGGACAAGGATATAAATACGGAAGTTTTACGTCCGTATCGCTATAGAATTGCAGCCGATGCAGATATTGTGCTGATACAGTCGGCCGTAAATCCGTAATCCCTCATAGTGATAAGAAACGCATCGTCCTCTCACTTCGCTAGTGCTTTACTGCATAAGTGCAGGCAAACAGAAGCATATCCGAAATATGAAGAAAGCTGAGGTGTTCATATTTTACAATTTAGATGGTTTCCAAATTGTAATGCTTTTAATATCCAATATTTCCAAGTACATAATATGTATATCTACATCTGAAAATTATATTTATAATTCGTATCACTTGCTAGGAAACGCTTCGTTTAATGTCATTAGTATAATAACATAAAACAAACATTTGTGCCGAGCCGTGAATCATTCTGCCCCGATAAACGAAGGCGTGCAGTTACGGCAGTTTGGCAACGGGCAAAGGTTGCGCTGTAAACTTTGAAGAAGGTCGCCGAAAGTTCATTCCAACCGGCTTTACAACGACCCGCTGGTATTTGATTATAATAATATCAAGAACACGTTTATGTGCCGTTCGATAGGCCGTGCCGAAATTGTAAACAACTTTTGATAATAGGGTACTACCTATTTTATTATGAAAGGTAGCAGTGAGTGTATCAGTTGTGCAGATATCAGTGGTTTGATTAATAGTTTAATTACTAGGCATTTGCAAATAGGGAACCCTAAAAACCACGGTAGGCAAAAGCTAGTAGATGGCTACAAAAAAAAAACATTTTCAGGGGTTTCCTTACTTTTATTTATAAAGATTTTTTTTAATAAAACAAATTAAGGAACAAAAAAACTTACAATTACTTAATAACTAATCTTTAAAAATTACAATATTATTAAAAATATCGGTTCGCATATTTTTTTCTACAACTATGTAGATGATTGGTTAATGTTTTAGATTTATTCATTAATGAAGTACTTTGGTCCTTATTGCACACTTGTCTGGTCAAAACATAAATCGTTGGAAAACCATAGAATGCGTCACCTGAGCCTGACTGACCGCTGCCTTTAAATCTTGCCTCAAAATCATACGTTAACTAATTCAAGTGGGTGGGACACGCACGGTAAACAATAGAAAATCTTCACGGAAGCAAAACAATTAGAAAATAATTGTACGATAGCCAATAAATTAGGTAGTAGACACGAAAACAGCGATATTTTTTCCATTATCTGAGCACAAGAGTCGTTTGTCTTGATTTAAAGTTAATCCGGTAACGCGGCTATTATGTAATCATGTTATTTAGCCTCCCGTGAGCTAATATTAGTACCACTCTTGTCTGATTCAAAAATCACTTATTCATCTTAAAATTTATATCCTTATTAGCTTTCCGCCCGCGTGGAATTTTGTCTGTCACAGAAAAACTTTATCGCGCGCGTCCCTGTTTCAAAAACCGGGATAAAAACTATCCTATGTCCTTTCCCGGGACTCAAACTATGTCTATGTCAAATTTCATCAAAATCGGTTCAGTGGCTTAGGCGTGAAAGAGAGACAGACAGACAGACTTTCGCGTTTATAACATTAGTATAGATTTAGAGGTCTAAATACATACAGGAACAAGATTACCATAATGGCTTAGTTTATCATGCCACACAGTTTTACTCCATCTTATGTTACGATTTCAAAATGCTTTACATTTTTGTTGGGATACATAAAATACACTTCCAATATTGCACCCACCATGTTATACCTACTCATGATGTAACTACCCTCAATACGAATACGACGATTTATTCCATCAGTAGAGTGGTAGGTATTAAAAGTTGTGATCGAAATTGAAGTGAAACGTTTGCCGGGGGAGATATCAGGAAGCTCCGATGACGCGATCGGAAGAACTGCTACCCGTCGGGACAGGAGACGTCAATTATTCAGGAGTAGCGTACGAGATGCGACCATGTGCCCGTATATTTCCACTGCAGTCGTGCCACTCATAACTGCACGCTTTAGATGCTGGGTATCCGAAGAATAGAAAATCGAAGGTAAAACTTTGAAATAGCTCTTATAAAAAATTGCAATGATCTTACACAAAATGAAGTTGGATAAAAATCCAGAATAATCCCTGTTTCAGCGACACATTTTGTATGTTTTAATATTTTATTCAAAATGAAGGAAGGAAAGCGAAAAGAAAATCTCAAAAAACTACCAATAAAATATCGCCAGGTCCGGGGTGTTTGAGCTTGTGTGGTGAACTAGTGATACGTATACGTACGTATTACGTCGCGCGTCGCCGCCTCGCCAGCCATTGTATGATGAACGAGACTTTCGCGACAATTAACATGAATCCGATATTTTATCATTTGTCAATAAATGAATAGAGGCTTTCTTGACAGCAATTACTTAATGGTTGCTAAAATTTAAAAAGACCCCATTGCCTTATAATTTTCTTACAGTAAGAATTATATTTTTACGTACTTCCTTTTACATACATTTTAGGAACTTTGTTATCTTATCTACCATAATATAGAGGAGCGATGCAATAACAATCGCAAGATAAAATTAATTTATTTATAAATAACAATCATTTTAAGCGAGTGATTTTATGCTTTGAGTCAAGTAACAGTGGCGGATTTACAAATTTGCCGCTAGTAGGCCATTCAATTTTTGCCGCCCCTACCTACTGACTTTTGAAATTCAATACGTTAGTTTAATCACAGAATAATAATAAGTACTACCGTTATTAGGTACTATGATTGTGAACTTAATGATATTTTTCTGTAAGTTAATAGATTAATTATTGCAACCCGCTATGTAGTGAAGAGTTTAATGTTGACTTATAAACAGCAATATGTACTAATCCTAAGATGGGGAAACGAAAACTGTACCTACATTTTTATAGAACTTTAACTATTGCAATTTAAAGAAAATTTTATGCAATTTATTTTTAAATTTACCTTTATTAAATTACATCGCCCAGGAGATTTCCTTGACGCTTACAACATTCGATCAACATACATCAAAATCTTGGAATGCGTTCGTCAGAATTACCTCGAAACCTATTTTCAATTTTTTGTCGAATGCTCAGCTTCAGTTGCTGCATGGTTGTTGGATTATAAAAGTATACTCTATTCTTAATGTAACACCACAAAAAATAATTTTCTGGAGTGAGATCAGGGCTTCCTGGTGGCCAGGAGATGTCACCCCTGCCTGAAATTATTTTTTTGTGGGAACATGTCTCTTACCACCTAAATGTTCTCAGTTGAAGCACAGATAATATAATACTAGGTTGAAGTGTGACACGTAGCCCCATCTTGATGAAACCAAGCGCTCCGGTCATAACCTTGCGAATCTTGCAGCTTTGAAATCAAAAAGCTTTTCAGCCTACCAGTATAGCGCTCTCAAAAATTAATCATCCTTTCAATGCAACAAACCAATTAAGCAGTGGTGAAATCTCACTGCCTCTAAGAAGCGCTAATCTCATTCCAGTAGACTTCTTTTTGTGGGGTTACCTTATGAGCAGAGTATACTCTAATAATCCAAAAACTCTGCAGCATTCATCCATCCTGAATCCATTTTGAGGTAACTCTAAGGCCTCAGCCTCGAGTTTAGCGGGCAGCGGCGCGGGAGCGGCGGCGGCGCGGGAGCGGCGCAGGAGCGGGCAACGAGCGGGTAGCGCACTCCTTCTTTTTCCCACAATAAATCGAGCGTTAGGAATAAATTTGAATCGAAATAAAATTGTCGCTGTTGTTCAGACATTTCGTTTGCGAATATAAACAAATATCTTGACAACACAACCCCGAACACAACACTTCGCCGCTAAAGCGCCGCGCGAGCTGCCCGCTTGTTTCGAGAACGGGCCTACGTTGCCCGCCCCGCTCCCGCGCCGCCGCCGCTCCCGCGCCGCTGCCCGCTAAATTCGAGGCTGAGGCCTAAGGGCTCCTGCACCTGCGCGGCGCGGCGGCGGCGCGGCGGCTGCGCGGCAGCGGTGTTCACGCGGCGCGTATAAACAGTACAAAGGCGCGGCGACGGCGCGGCGGCGGCGCGGTAGCGGCGTCGTGTGCAGGAGCGCTTACGAAAGTTTTCCAAAATGTTGATGTATGTTGACCGAATGTTGTAAACGTCAAGGGAATCACATGTACGATAAAATTTATAAAAGATAGTAAATTTTAAAATAAATTGCACTAAATTTCCTTTAAATTGCAATAGCTTAAGTTCTACAAAAATGTACAGTTTTCGTTTCCTTGAATTTTTAAAAGTGAATTTTCTTCTGGGCTACCCTGTAAAACAATATACACGAAGTTGTGGAGAGATGGTGCTCGTGCTAGGCTCCGAAGATCCTGTGTTACTTAAGAGTTTTTTATTTTATTGTTATTGAAACGCTATTGGAATATTTTAAAATTCATGATCACATAACTAAGTACCTAAGTATATATTACAGTGCGTTTATTAATCGTTTATTTATATATGGATTGTGTAAACGTATAATTATATATTTTTTCCTGTGAAAAAAAATTAGCTAAATTTGCCGCCCCTCTAAATCTGCCGCCCTAGGCACTGGCCTACTTGGCCTATTGGTAAATCCGCCACTGTCAAGTAATCAATCAACTAAATGTATTTCCTGCATAATACATTTGCAATTCCGGTATTTAATATAGGTAATTATCTCAAGCAATATACTACAATCTCGGTAATTAATAATTTTATTAAACAACAAACACCTGGAGGCTACATTCCCACCCATCGCTTACGTAAAGAGATTAAAAAGTTACGGGCGCAGGTGAACGCCCTGTGCCGCGAAAATGAGTCGACGGGCGAACAAAAAATGACAACCCGCGCTCAGGCGACCTAACACACTGCTTTTTAGCTCGCTTCAATCATTACTCCCCTACTCTTAGCGCAGGAAGTAAAATTGTCAGTCTGCATAAATACGTTTCGGAAGATGGGGGAATCATTGGATCAGATAAGCTGTCATATTTATTGATGTGAGAGTCTGTTACGCTAAAACTCGTCGACTTGACAAAAAACCGTCCAGCTCTTGTTTTTCACCAGATCAACATAAAATATCCTCTAGTGTATTGTCGATTATACTGAATAAACATTTTTTCTTTCTTTCTTTCTTTCTAGTTATTGAATCACGTCACTGTCATATCGCCTGGAGTGTAGGCCTGTGTCAGACGAAACCAGGTAGTTAGGTGTAGGTATATTGCAAGCGATGTAGGCAGTCTCCTTCCATTGTTGCTCAAGAGGGACAAGTGCCGGCGCTTATTTGCGCTTGCACTATACTTATTTCCTATGCAGTCGTGTTTACCATTAGCGCCGAGTGTTGTGGCTTATGATACAAGCGTCTCAGACGAGAATTATTCGACGTTTCGCAACGACCTGGCTCGTATTTATACCTACTACGTACAAAATATTTGTGTAGCGCTGGTGTCAAATAGATGATGGTTTTCTGTATTTTATTTCATTACGTCAGAACCATGGCGAAGTTAGCTATATTTCACATCCAAATTCTGTTAATAAATGGTTGTCGAAGCTATCATTATCTTTGGTACCTACTCTGCCTACAATTCTCGATGAAAGGAGATAAAAAAAAAGTAAAGTCCAATTTCAAAATGAAGCTTCTTCTGAATCATGTCGTTGGGGCAAAATCTTGAGTAAAATGCCATCAATGTGCATGTAGCTGTAGATAGAGCGGGTCCTTGGGGCAATGCTTCGTCTTCCATTGACGCTATTTCACTTTTAGAGGCAAGACAAAACAATCCGAGTTTTATTCATTTTTCCGTCTGCCGCCTGCATAACATTTATTTATCTTGCGCTTGGCTTGAAATTAGAAATTCTTTTGTCTCGGCACTCTGTTAATTGCAAAAAGGAAACGAATAATAGCTTTGCTACCTAAAATGCAAGTGCGATGCTTTCAAGTGATGGATATCATGAAAGTTACGATTGAGTAACTTTTTCAGTCTTTCAAGTTTCAACTATGTTGGTTGGTTTTTCCTGAAAACATCCAAGTTGCAATTTGATCAAAATGGTTGTAATGGAATTTCACCCGATGATACGAGAACATTTGTTATAAAATAAGGTTCCAAATATTCGATCCAGATAATATTTGTAGAATATTTAACGTGGCTGCTGTAAAATTAGTGTAGTCGGGTGATCTCTTTTTGGTGCGGCGGAGCGTAAAATTTGTCACCCGCAGCGGCGCGACGTCGCGTCCGCGTCGATACACCGGTATATGTGCTGGTTATGTAGTACCTACTACTATTGACATCAAAAATTCAATTTCTGTAGAGATGATCGAAAACTACTACTAATATTGACACCGTACAAAAACCGCATTTTTGCGCACTAGACAATATTTTTGATATCGTCGCCCATACCAGTATCTTTACAAATACCTACTGCGTAACGTAATTAGTTTTATCAATAAAATATGTAAGTAATCTGTGGTGGCCAGTATATTAGTTAATTTTGCGGTTAATAGATAATTAATTAATTAGCCTGGAAAACTGTAGACTTCCTGTTTTAGTTTTATATTTGTTTTCGTGCGATGCGCCATGAGACAACTGGGAACTTCTTTGACATGACAGAACATATTAATTTAGCCCTAACAATTTACGACATGACTGAATTTTCCATAACATACGAATGCACATACATCCCCCACGCTTCATGCGATACGACGGTGGAAGCTGACGAGCCGCTGTGCAGGTGATCAACGGCACGCCGAGCGGCGCGTGCGGCGGCGGGCGCGAGGCGGCGGGCGCGGGCGCGAGCGAGTCCCGCCGCCGCGGCGCGTCCTCGCCGCCGCCCGCCGCGCCCGAGAAGCGCAAGTGGCCCGCGCAGCCCTACGACGCCGACGACCTGGCGGCCAGGCCTCCCTCCTCCGACGACGACGACACGAAGGTGCGCCATTTAATTCTCATCCGCATACTAACTCTCACTGTCGCTTTGTGTCTTGAAGTTGTGTTGCTTTGTTTCTTTTCAGATTTTTTAGGTACTTTTCAGACCTTGGACGATGGTGAGGTCAAATCTGATCTTGTGGTGCTCCGGAAGAATATCTACTACATATTTCTTATTTCAATACTATTTTATAATTATTTTTCTTCTTGATTTATACCGCCTCTGTGGTCTAGTGGTAAGACCACCTGCTTCAGACGCAGACGTCCCGGGTTCGATTCCCAGTGGGGGCAGATTTTTCTGTTCGGTTTGGTTGGTGGTAGGGCTTGTTCTAAGTCCGCCTGACTAGCCACCACCATCTTACCTAAGTCTGTCGACATAACAACAATGTTAACAGCATTGTTATGTTCCGGCAGTTAGAGGTAAGATAGCCAGTTCCTCCGTGGTTGAGGATTTCGGGTGAAGCTCGCTTCCACCTTCGGCCTGATCTCACTTACCATCAGGTGAGATACAGGCCAAGAGCTTCCTCGTTGTGGATAAAAAAAATCAACTTATAAAATCTATGTGATTTACATTGCCAAGCGAAAATCGTTTTCGGACAGCTTGTCGAATGAAAACAACGAATACAAAGTAACCTGTATTTTGGTGTTCACACGTCCGTGGTGCGTTCCAGGTGGAAACTCCGGTGCGATTCCGCACGTCGCCGCCGCTGGAGGCGCTGAAGCCGCGGCGCGCGGGCGCGTGCGTGTGCGCGGGCGAGCGCGAGCGCGCGCCGCCCTCCCCGCGCCGCCGCCGCATGCCGCTGCCGCCGCCGCGCCGGCACCGCCCTGCGCTCGACTTTGACAAGATGCAGCAGGTATACCATTATTATATCAACTGTTTCTCCGTTGAATCTTCGACATTTCGTAATCAATCAGCGCCTACACAGGATGACGCTGTGCGAGTCTGCACTATGCCCATGCGGCGAGGAAGTCGAAGAGAGCCGCGATCACGCACTTTGGGAATGTAACCTCTATGACGAAGCTCGACAAAAGATGTTGGATGCGATACGGAGAGCCGAGCAAGGACCTGTTTATCACCAGGACCTCACGAGTAGTCGCAGTAACTGGATCGAGTTCGCGCACTCCTGGCACACAATCAGGCGAAGTTATGAGAAGAAGTGATGACATTTATCAACGATAGCAGCCCGACGCGAAGTACCGTATTTGTGGTGTCAAGCCCCAGAAGGGGGAGAATTGACTATGAGAAGGGACATGGATCAGAGAAATTTGTAGGGAGTCAAGCAAAGCGCCCGGGGAAAAGAGCCCAGAGCAAGTACCCGCGTGCTCTCCCGAGATTCGGTTCGTACGCCGTGAGGCAGGAAGAACCATGGGTGGTGGTGGGTAGATTTCGTAATCATACCGGTCACTGTTCGTTATTGTCAACACCGACACGTGTTCGTTGCAAGGGGTTACTAATACGCCAACCATTTCAGACAGGAGAGAAATAGGGAATTTCGAGGGTTAAGTTAATACCTCTCTTCTTTGAGTAGCGCTGCTCGTTTTCAAAATCCTCCAGCTCCCCTTAGATTCTCAGATAAATATATCATGAGTCGTGAAAACAATATTTTACAGCCCATTATACTTAGCCTTCTTGTTTTAAAATCCTGATTTCGACCGTGGAAGATGCTAAACACTGACGGGTGTTTAAACGTATTTATTTGAGTTTAAAATTCTATAGCCACTCGAGAATGTGTGCCGTTGGAATGTGGAGCACAACAATACAATTTTATTGTGTCCATTGTTTTTCCGCTGCAGCCGGGATCGAAAGCAAGCGGAACACATCGGAGTCTATGACCTCCGACCGCTGCGTCTGCCCGCTGCCCCTCAGCAAACACGTTTCGCTGCCATTAGAATGTAGCCTTTTGATCATCACGCGAAACGTTCAACTCCAATCACTCCATCTTGAAGTATTCCAATTTTGTTGTTGTTTCACGTTTCCAAATCTTTATCTTACTTCCGCAGAATAAGTGTCGTAAAACACACCCACTGAAAATCAGTGTCTTAACAGTTACACTGTCAAGATGGTACTGAGTGGGTGACCTGTTTGGCAACTTTTTTCGTTATAATCCATCTTTTGATTAACATCTTGCAGATCTACATACCATACCAGAACTACATACCACGTGTTGTTAATAGTGTTCAGCGATTATTTAATGTCATAACATTTTACTTGTCACCGTTCTAATCTCTGGCTTAAAAAGGTCATTGAATACAAAGCGCACAGTAACTCTATTACTGTTATGGTGTGAATCTTGCTCGGATCGCCAACTGAATAGGTGGCTTAGAAGCACAATTGAAAAGCGCAGCGCAGAGCTGTCTCCCTCGCAGCACAATCGCGCGCATCGGTTCCCACGACCCACGCGCCGCACATGTCACACACACGCCGCTGAACAATCGACACGCAAACTGTTTCCAAAGAAAAGTTCCTAAGAAACTTGTGTAATTTCTAATTTACTTCACACTTGGTGGCTTTGTTAGTTTCCTGATGTGTCAGGGTTTCAATCAAGAGATTTACAGACGTACTCGTATTTAGATCAATAAATCACAAACATTAACTTTCCGTGTTTCTAAAACCTTGACGCTTTTATGATGATAAAGCTGATTTCCCATATCGTAACTTAGGACATTACAAGTGTACAATTTTAAAACATCATTTACTTAGTTCAAGAAACTTACCTTATGTTCATACATTTGCACGGAAACAATAATAGCCAGTGCGTCACTTAGTCAAACTTAGTTTGCATTCAGAAGGACAATGTAGCTTGAAATGCGTTTGTGCACGTGGGCGGGTCGTCGCCCGCTGACTGCGACCTGGGTCAAGCGCTGGCCTCCCATCTCGGCAACAATGCATTAGACAATGCCCTTGCACTGCCGAGATCTAAGCAGCTTCAATTTATTAACGGTAGCTTTATTCTTGCGTAAACAGTCGCATTTTGCAATGTCCTTGTTGAGTTTCTTGTAGTTTGGTACAGATGCAGGCGTCGTCATGATCAAAAATCTCCAAACTCGTGCATATTCATTCAGTGCTGAAAGTGGTGAAGGTCCATTCTTCTTAAGTTGATATCTAGTTGAGAGGCAGTTAATTTGGGATTAAAGTTAGATAGATCCCATCGTTAAATGTGGAAATATATTGTCACTTCTTATCGTTCTTATTTGGGATTAAAGTTAGATAGATCCCATCGTTAAATGTGGAAATATATTGTCACTTCTTATCGTTCTTCAAAGTCAGAAACTTGACATCTGTGTATGACTCTAATAGAAGTATCGTTCAATATTGAAAGACAGCTGGAAGCATTAAGTTGAAGCGGACAGCTGGCACAAAGCGTAGAGTTGAACTGTCCGCTCAAGTTGCGTCTGCGAGCGGAATGGCCGACCGTCTGTCGCGCTAGTGGCAGTAAACGCGGTGCACGGGGTAGGGCTGTCGTTGACAAACATTTGTCTTTGAAAGAATTGAAATGTACAAATGTTTTGTTGCTTGTCTTCGGCATGATCCAATTACCTTTTTTATTTCCCACTTCCATCTCGCAGCTGGTTCTATCTATCTTAATTGACCACCAAATTACCTACGTTATTTGTATGGGCATTGGGCACTCGAGTTACTTCTAATATTTCTCTGAAGTTGGTGCTTTTGGTTGAATAAAAAAAAACATAAATTATTGCTTATTGCTTTGGTTGAATAAAAAAAAACACAATATTGCTTCAATAAAGTAAATCACCAGATTTGATTGACAGCCCTAAGACAAGTAAAGTGAGCTATCATTAAACCAAGCACCTCCTACTAAGTAAGACTGGTTAGATAATATGTAGTATTACTCTATATTGCACTTGTTAGATGTCTTCGGAATTACAAATTACAGAAAGCGTTTTTATCAGCTCTTGGGTTGTAAACTTGTCAGTTGTTAAAACTTGAGGACCTGAATGTTTCACTCGTCGTGATTTTCTTCTAGTGACTTCAGAATTAGCCGCAGTCATACTTCTTGCATAAATGCTAGTAACTAGGGGGCACTTTATGGTTGTGTCTCCTCCACAAGATGGATTTGGCTTTCTCGACGAGATTTACGTTTTCTTACTCAAAAATGTGCCTCATGTTTGCTTTGCGCAATTCATGCTCTTTCGCAAATACCTACGGCAAAATAATCTTGAGCTTTTTGAAGGTAAGAGCTGACGTGAGGATGGCCGACATTAGAAGCATTTAGATATCTCACGTATGGCAGAACATCCTTCAACATTTCCTTACAGATGAAAAACTCGTAGCGAACGAAGAGGAAAACATGTGGGAATGTCATTATCTCGATTTAGTTGTTTTCGCCTTCCTAGTGATAAGCTATCAACTGCAGGCCACGACCACGATACCGGGTATCGGATAATAGTTCATTTACCTTACATAATGCGGGCATACATGTGGCATGCAATCCTTCATACACAATGCAATAGCAAACGTATCACAAAATAATTATCTAGGTACGGTGGACGTACAGCTGCCAGTTCCCTTGTGCTTTTATTGATTTTTAATATCGTAGTGCGACAGGCGCAACGTTTAATTTTTGAAAGTTAATAACTGCCGTCGCTGCATACAGTTGGGATTCATAAAACTTAATTATACGACAGTGAATAGTTATTCATACCCCCTCACTGATAAAAAGTTATACAAGCGTTGAACAGTTGTTTAAAAATTCCATACTAAACGTCACTAGAAACAATCAGGCTGGGTTACACCAACTTACTTTACTTTAGCAAACGTCAAAAATCTGTCAAACTATACAAAAAGTACAGGTTATCGTTATAGTTACCGTTAAAGTTAGGTGGTGCAACTTAGCCTTAGTGTTCAATGGGCGTGTCACTTTTATTAGTAAGGGGGTTATAAAGTATAGTAGTAAGTAATAGTATGAAATTCTGATTTGAATACGTTTCGCAATTTTTACAGTGTGGAATAGTTAGCGTTTTCGTAACTATGTTATTTTCTTTGATTTGACAACCATAAGCTAAAGCTGGATTTAGAAGCGAAACACGAAGAAAATCAAAGAGATTAGATAAAGAAGAATATAAAAACATGGAATTAATACAAGTTGAGTGAATGGAGCGCGTTTCCGTATAACCACGTCTCATTGAGCGGAGTACTTCAATGGCGGCATTCCTCGCGCGCGCAGACCGCCCCCTCGCGGCAGGACGTGGAACGAAAACTTGAAGCGTTTGGTTTTTGCTCCGCGACCAGTCGCGTGATCCGGCTTCTAATGCGGACGAGACAGGACTCGAGATCGCAATGGTCGTGAAATGCGGTGTACGCTACGTAAAATCACAGGTTGGAAACTGTTGAGCAAAACAAGTTAGAAGGCGTCTTACGTGCATGGCGAAATTCTACTTTTGCTTCAGTTTACTCCAATAAGACTAAGTAAATCTTGAATTGTACGAGTTAGGTACTTGTATGTATTTCGCTTTGATATTATGAAGGTTGTTTTCCCAAAGTTACTGTTGTCGTGCTGTGGTAACACATCAACCAAATATCTCATTTTTTTTTTTACTTTATAATCGTCGTCGCGTCGTTGTGACTCAAGTCTGATGATGACATTGATCTGCTCAGGTTATCAATATTGCTTCCTTTTCTTCCTTTTTTTTCATTTGACCTTGAACTGATTCGTGGATTCGTGGTACATAACATGTGCCAAAAAAGAAAAAATCTGCCACTTTTGGTCACCAAGTTTTCAAGAATAGTGCATCGTAGTAGCAGCCTGGATAACACACGTGTTGAGTCCTCAGCTAAATGTCACCATGTTTTATTGAACAGTGCTACACTGTAACCGCAGCTATAGGTGTACCAGAATCTCATGGCAAATAGGGAAAATAAACTTTGTTGAGAGCAATACTGGGGAAATTGGAATAAACGATCTTGATACTGTTTAATTTTTTACTTTTATGACTTTAATATTAATGAACATGAAGTACGAATATACATTTTAGGTAGGTATGTGTATGAAGAAAGTTGTTATACATCGGGAAAGTGTCTTGAAAAATAAATAAATCGTATTATTAATTTAAGTAACTAATTTTATTATGCATCATACTTTTAACTTATCACTTCATTCAGAACTAGAAAACGATTCTAAGAACTCCACTTGCAATTTCTTGTTCTTCAATAGATGATCAAAATAAAGAGATAAAATCTTTTTCAATTTTCTTTACATGGTCATAACATTTTGACCATTCCCCTGCACCAATTTGTGAGATATACCTGAAAACCCCGATAAAGCAGCTATTAAGAATAATATAAAAAAACATAACCCTCCTTGTGACGTAATTGGGTAATAAACTAAAATGTATCAAAATATTTCAGTCCAACTTACTGTCAACTCGACGACGCGCTTTAGAATCAAAGATTGACTTTGAATTATGTCTTATTTTACAATTCACATTGAAAACAATATGACTTGCTTGAGCTTTTTCGATTTTTTCACAAAAATAACAAATAGTCAAGAAGAGATTACAAAATTTTTGCAGCGGCTGACAGATTTCATAATTTTCTTTGACAGGTGACAATGAAACCATAGACAATTGCCATATGAAAAACACACTTTTCCAATATTTTTGTTTGCCATGAGATTCTGGTACACCTTTAGACAATGACTAACGTGCTTGTGTTAACGTCCGCAGCTCAATACACACAGTGTATCCTACACAGTGTCAGCCCAAAACTCCACCACGAGGGTGGCGTTGTCAGCAGCACTCATCAAATCCTCCTGAGTGCAGTTGCTTGGGCACTCAGGGCACGACATCAGGTGCTTCATCGACTGGGGAACAAAACCGCACCTGCACTCCATGTTTAAGCCACCCAAGAATCCCCACCTGACCAGAGGTGGAATTGTGTAAAGCAATCGTAATCATTTGACAGTTCATAACGTACGATTATTCTGTCAAACGCTTTATCTGACTTTATCGTACGTTATGAACTGTCAAATGATTACGATTGCTTTACACAATTCCACCTCTGATTGTCCTTACTACGGCCTGGACAATGACTAACGTGCTTGTTGTCCGCAGCTGAAGGTGGGCGGCGGCGGCGTGCGGTCGTGGCGCGGCGTGGGCGGCGCGGGCGGCGAGCTGTCCGTGTTCTGCTGGTGATGGCGCCCGCCCTGACGCGCCCGCGCACAGGTGCGTAACACGCGGTACTTGCATGTACCAGTTACACCAGGCCTGTTCATCTCCGCGAGTTTACATCGAAAACAAAACACGCACGATGGCCCACCTACAGGATACTATTCGACAAGGTCTCACATACGAGCGAACATTGACACACGCACGCGTATTCCTGTGTATGATGGAAGAAAATAAAGAAAATGATGTACTGTGCAGTATTTCACTGCCTAAATAATAATAAAAACACAGAACGTACTTTTTTAAGTTGCCTCAAGACACTGAGAGGTAAATAAGTAGTTAATATTATTCATGCTAAATCATGTATTTCCTCCGCCATTTTCCGCAGTTTGGCACCTCACATCATTTTACCGAAGTCAGCCCTATAGTTTCGGCGCCGTGCCGATCACTGACGTTTGTCAACAAAATGGTGCTTGACTCTTGAGACAGGCTAAATTACACCATATTGTTAATGACATTGGGCATACATTTTTTTAAATACCTTCGCGAAGTAAAACTTCTGTACGTAGTACTTATTATTCTGTGGTTACACTTCAATTCAATATCTTTATTGCAATGTGTTCGTTTCAACCAAATGACGTTCATTACTAGACAAACACCACTCCAAGGATTTCCATAACGATAAGTCTTGCGCTGCTCGCATCCAGATACTTCCCGCGACCTTCACTTCAATGTGTGACTTACTTGACTTATGGTCCTATGTCCCCTAGATGGGGCAGAGGGCGTCCACAACAGTCCTCCATCTCGTTCGGTCTTGAGCTTCTCGCTTGATCTCGCTCCAGGTCTTGCCGATCTTCTTCGCCACTCGATCCACTTCAATGTGTATTACGGCCAATTACCGTAACTCATTGACATTACAAGGCATGCTTCTTTTTTATGGAACATGGACTTCCTGATGATAAAGATCATACCGAAGGAGTGCAGATTATATCTTTGGTGTAGCGTGATTGCCCAGAAGATGCCCGTTCACTCGTGGCTTAAAAGCCTTCGGGTTATAATTTCGGAAACAGGCTGGCATGTAATTCCACTCCTTGGCCCGCAGTTATAGATAGTGCCAACTTTGACTCTTGCACACTTCTGTATTAATAACAAGGTTGCTGACACCATCCATACATCGGTATTGACCGAATATCTTCTGTTTTTATGCAATTTGAATTGATACAATAATAACTTTTTCCAGTTTGTGTAGGCGAGGGCGCGGCACCCGGGAGCTACAGTACTTACGTCCGCTTCATTCGCGTCGCGCAGGCGCCCGGCGGGCCGCTTGGGCCCGCGGGCCCGCAGCAGGCCCCGCCCGGGCCCGCGCCGGCGGCGGCCGACCCCACACGAGCATTGTTGATGTCTACTGTGTATTTCTTCGTCTGTACCCGATCACCCGTCAGTGCAGTCGACTCGAACGTATCCCTCCGCGCGTCCGCCGAGATCGCGAGCGAACGCGCAACAACGTTCCGGCTCTCACCCGTCGGTCCCGATCAGCTCACGGTTCCCGCAACGTTTCGACCGAAACTTGCGAGTTTTATAATCGGTTCGTCGTCGCGAGTTCGACTTGTATCTATGATCATATCAGATTTCGTGCCGCATGTTTTTAGTTTCCCCGTCCTCTCGCCCGGGCGCGGATGCAGCGGACGCCGGCCCGGGCCGGTTCCCTTGCGCCCGGTTGTTTGACCCTCCCGTTTCCTTCGCGATTGCACTCGATGATCATCAAAGTACAAACTGGAAGTTTTATAGTATTGGACGAGTGCGACCGCTCGTGGGGCGGCGACGAGTTTTATTCTCACAGTGTGTAGTTTTTGGATATATTTACTCCGGTGTTAATCACTGTTACTTAATTATAAATCGGGACGATATTGACGAGACAGAAACCATAGACCGGGACTCTCTCCCGCTCGGACTCGATGTTTTAACACGTGAGGAGGCCACACGATGCAGCATCGACGAACCCATATCACAGCTGAATTGTATTTTGTACGAGGCCATTGCTAGATTGTACCCAAAATAGTTTATTGTATTGTGATATAGTACAGTTCTGTTGTTTTAAAGTATGCGCTTTGGAGTCATTTGAGTTGCGGGAATAAATCTGATTATTTTATAATCCTGTTTATAATAGTAAACTTTATAACTAAGCGATTAAAGTTAGTATTTGATTGATTAGGTAAGCACGGTTACCACTTTCTGACATGTAAAGTTTTCGAGAAAAGAGATGTCATTTCAGCGACCATTTTATACATAAAAACTGTCATTTCACTCTGTCATTATTAGAAATGTGACGCGACTGGATTAGAAGGGTGGATTAGGCTACATCGATAAGGCTTCTTAAAATTCAAATGGCACAAAAGCACATATTTTGAAAAGCAGTGAAAGTACGGACGTTGTCAAAAGTGAAGACGACTCAAGCAAACGCGGCGGCGCTTGCTTCAGTATTAGAGGCGCGCTCCTCAAGTTTTGATCTCGAATTGCGACTGACACGCTTGGTGTTTGTGTTAAACGGATGACCGCGTAGTGGGCTAATGCAACCGGGCTCGACACTTGTTGCCCGCATATTAACACACACTCGGGATTCTGCCACAAAAATATTTAACTTTATTTAAAAACACTGCAGTAATGTCGGTCACTGGACCAGAAATATCTGTAATAAATTACAGCACCACCGTATCCTCATAAAATTGCTAAATCTTGAAACACTCCTTTTTGCAGCAGAGTAAGAACTTACTGTCAACATAAATATTTAATTCATGTTGCACTATCTTTGCCATCATAGAAAAATCCTGAAGAATAGTGATTTCGTATACACTATTGAGTTTCATATGAGGGCAGCATATTAAAGAGTCCAGACTGCTAGAGAAAAGTTGCATTGTCCTTTAGTTTGTCGTTTTATAAAATTTACATTATCCTCTTTTAACATAAATACCCAAGCCACATTACGTGATTCCATCATAGATTAACGTTGTTTTACCATTAAAGTGTCAATTGATATGAAGACGATCTCGTCTCGTACAAGAGTATCGGTTGTACCCTAGTGTTACTTATGTTAGTAGTTGTTTAGCGGGGCTAATGTTTTGTTACTCGTATTGTGTTATGGAACGAAACAACATAATAAAATGTGGTGCGAGTGGATTCCGTGAGTTAAACTATAAAGACATTTAACAAATTTTCAAATTAATATGATAAAAGTACTAAGGACTTTTTTAAAATCGCTTGGATAAAGATTGTATGTACATAGTGTTAAGTTAGTAGAGTTAAGAGCAGACTTAGATGTAGTAGGTATATATAACAAATTGTAAGGCGCGCGGCGCCGGATCTATTGTTAACATTTTCTCTTTTAATTGTGTTATTTTCATATTATTTCTGCTAAAGTTTCGTTACTGACATTTTATTGTTATCGTCTCAGTAGCGCGCCGCGGGGAGGCAATGTGAAGTCGACACTCTTACTTATATCTCAGTTACCTAAAAAGGAAACTCGCGATTTTACCAGCTTTACAACGCATTCGAATCCCATTAAATAGACACAGAACAATCCATCTAAATGTGGATCTTTAATTTGTAGTTTGTTGCTGTCCAAAGTGTTTTCTCTTGTCACAGTACACGATATGGTTTTGCACGCAATATTTCGTACATGTAGTAACATCACATGGGAAATATCTATCTCTTGTCAACAATGGGCACCGTATTAATAAATTGTGGAATACTGGGACATAATGTAGTAAGTTTTGTATCGAGTGTCGACCGAACAGTGAAGGTATAAGAACGTTTGCGAAGGCCCGCGGCGCCGCACAGTGTCAACAATCAGTGGTGATATTATATGAATAATTTATATTATGTTTTTATATATTGATTAACAAGCGTAATAAAGAGTGAGCAATGGCACATCTGAATTAGTGTTTCATTAATCCCATAAATGTATGTGACGTCTTTCATCATGTTCAATTAATTTAATAAATTAAATGACAAACACACGCAAACACATTACCTAACCTCGTAAAACCGAGGTTATATTTTACAAAAAGGAGGTAAGACCGAAGGTACTAATATTTAAACGTCAGTCCCAGCACTAAGAGTTTACAAAATGTATTTAAATATGCAATATTTATTTGAAGTTTTAAATTTTTTCCAACCAAAATGAATAACTATTAATTATCGATCGAAGGTTCTCTATAGCGCATTATAAATTTTAAAGTTATAAAAATTGCTTTGCGACATCAATCATAATTTAGGATTCTTGCATTAATAAATAAAAACAAACATTCCATAAGTAATTAAAGAATTTAACACATCGGCGCGGTTGCACCAGTTTGTCAAAGTGACATTTCTTGACAACTGTCAGCGCGTTCAGGAATCGAAGCTTTTACAGCCGCAATTCAATTACCATTTGACGCGAAAACAAAAATGTATAATGAAGTTTTGGGTCACTGGAAAGGACCTTCAGTAATACATTACTTGATTTAATTGAATTTCAAATGTTCAGGAACGACTGAGAATTTGGTTCTTTTAAAGGGACCGACGGTCTTACGAGGCTAGACAATTTGAAATGTTATTGTCCAATTAGACAAAATATTTCATGTTACAGAGCCAAGCAAATTCTGTCAAATAAAAATATTTTGGACCAATCAAGTAATTTCAGAAGAATGACGAGACGACGCACACAGACTGACACCACAATATCCCACCACCACACACCATCAAACATAATAAACTACTTATTATTATTAATGAAACTACAGTAGGTACTTCTAATAAAACAATTAGGTTTATTATCACAATCCGAAAATTAATTTAGTACCAACAATTACTTACAACTACTGTGTGTGATATTATGCAAATAGGTCTTACCGTAACTATTTAGTATTCACTACAGAAAGATCATGCAGAATTATATCAACTAGACTTATTTACACAATTATTCATATAATGGGTATGATATGATTTGATGAAATAAATGATTCTAAGACTACTCTAATTAAAAGTAAATGCAACAATGAGGATCAGTACTGTTGTAGAAAATTCAATAAAACTAGTATCTACGTTAATCTTTAAGACATAAGAAAGATATATCTTTTTGAATTATCCAAATCGGACCATTACTTACGAAGATATTAAGTAATAAACATAGGCCGTTTTTGCCGCTAAAAGTCAACGTACGCAAGGCCGCGTGACGTCATTATATCCGAATCGAGCGCAGCCGGCGTACTAATGGGATGGAAAATATTTTTTTCCGGCTAAATTATCAGTTTTAGAAAAAAACTTTTAATAACATTTATTCTTCAAAATAAAGTAACCTATCGACCAGTAATTTTTAAAAATAAAAATTGTGAAAAATAAGTATTGCTATGTCCAAAAACAACAACACAAGTCATAACCAGTTTCTAGGGCTGGGGGGAGGGGCTAGCCTTACCCAGCTTATGGCCTGGGGGAGGGGGGGGGGCAAGTCATACCCAGTTTCTGGCATTTCTGGCATGGGGGGGGTGTCATACCCAGCTTCTGGCCGAAGGGGAGTCATATCCAGCTTATGCTTATGGCCTGGGGGTAGGGGCAAGCCTTACCTAGCTTCTGGCCTGGGGGGAGGGGGAGGGGTCAAGTCATACCCAGTTTCGGGCCAGGAGGGGGGGGGGGGGGGTAAATCATACCCAACTTCTGGCCGAGGGGGAAGTCATGCCCAGCTTATGACCTGGGGAGAGGAGAGGGGCGGGGTAGTCATACCCAGCTTCTAGGCTAAGATTAAATAGATTTCCAGCACGGAGCGGCTGTCCTTTCCTGCAGCAGCTGGCCCGCCCATGGGAACGGCGAATAGATAGGTAGGTGCGTAGGTTTAACTCAGAAAAACTAAATAACAGGTAGGTATTATTAAGTGTACATCGAAATGATTTTCATAGCAATGTCTTATTGTTAGAAGTTATACCTTATTGTTAGAAGTAAATAAATTAATACTTATACATTTTTATATTTTACTTGGAAGAAGATATGACTCTAACAACACTTATGTACACTTTATTTGAATAAATCGCCAAATATACCACCGCGGAGACCCCAATCGCGTCTCTGCGTGCCATTGAATCGTATGAGCGTATGGATTTTTTGCGTTATTTTTCACAATTTCCATTTTTAAAAATTACCTATCGATAGCTTACTTTATTCTGATGAATAAATGTCATTACAAGTTTTTCTCTAAAACTGATAATTTGGCTAGAAAAAAATATTTTCTATCCACGCAGTACGCCGGCAGCGTTCGGATCGGATATAATGACGTCATCGTCCCCGCGCCGGGCGGTCAGTGAACTTTTTTAGTAATATGGCCATAACTTCGTAAATTTTTGTCGTAGAACAAAAATTTTTGCACTGTGTATTAAGGATTTCTTAGCCCTATAAATCTGCATTCACAGCTAAAAATCGAAATGATCCTCATTGTAACATCCACCATAGAATTTCGTTATTTATTTAAATAAATAGTAAAAATGTTAAAATCGTACACACTACTTTTAGTCTTACTAAACAAACGACATTTTACTTTTCTTCAAATGAATAGGTTTCTCTTTCTAGATAGATTCTCAATAATTAGAAATCATCCACGAATCTTCTAAATATATAAAAGGAGAAACTGACTGACTTAGTGACATATCAAAGCACAGCCTAAACGGCTAAACGTAGGCACTTGAAATTTGGAAGGGACGTAGCTTAGGTACCGTAGAGGTGCACTAAGAAAGGAATTCCCGAAATTCCCACGGGAACGGGAATTAGCGGGCAAATCCTTTTGTATGAAAAATCTAAACCGCTTAAGTTAAACGCTTGAAATTTGGCATGCAGGTACCTTAATAAACTTAAAGCTTAGTTACAACAGGATATTGCAAAATTCCCCCGGGAACGGGAGTTAGCGGGAAAAAACATTTGTATGAAAAAATCTAAACCGCGTAAGATAGATGAAGGGGGTAAAACGGGATCCACGCGTACGAAGTCGCGGGCGGCCGCTAGTTCATCTATAATAATTGAGCATTGAGTACACTTTAAATCACGAAATTCCATGATGAACTTGCTAAGTACCCCCATTGGCTACAAATAATGTCACGTGATAAATTAAAAAAATGGCAGGCACAATCTCAGATTTTATAAAATACCCTCGTAAATAAATATTGAAATGTCAGATCTATGGATCTACGTAAACGATTAAGAACACGAAACACTGGTACGAATTTAAAGATGACTGCCATATCGTCAGGAATACTTAAAGTTTGTCTACGTCGACGTATAAAATACATCGATAGAATCACGCAATAAACATTGACTCCTTACATCGTGCAGAATAGGAAACAACTCATATAATTTGCTCACTTCTAATTATTTAGACTTATCCTTATTCGTAACGCTAAAGTACTTCAGCAACGTTCGACCCTTCTTGGCGGATTTGGGGGTTTTCTCCGAGACGGAGCTCCTCCGAGCGGGGACGTTCTCCTTCGGGCTGAGCGGCGCCAGCGGCTTGTCGGCGTCGGCGCGGCCGCGGCGCGCGCGCGTCATCAGCGTCAGCCAGTCCGGCGCCTCGGGCTTCTTCCGCACCGGCGACATCAGCCGCAGGTGCGGCGCCTCGCCCTCCAGCGCGAAGTTCGGCAGGTTCTTGGTCGGCGTCGTGTACGAGATGATCCTCACCTTGCTCGGCGACACCTTCACCGGCGACCTCTGCGCCGCGTCCGGGGACACCGGCTTCGGGCTCCGCGGCGAGAGCCGCTTGCAGGTCCTCCGCTCGTAGTTCTTGGTCGGCGTCATGAACGACGAGCCCGCCGTCGGGATGTAGCCCCAGTCGCGCGGCGGCGACGCGTCCGGCCCGCAGCGCTTGGCCGGGCTCGTGTCGGCGCCCGGGGGCCCGTCGGGGTGGCGGCGCTTGGAGCCGGCGGCGAGCGGCGGCGCGTCGCGGCGCGGGCGCTTGGGCGCGTCGGCGTCGGGTTCGCGCGCGGCCATGAGGTCGGCGAGGCAGCGCTTGGAGGCGCGCGGCGCGGGTCGGGCGCGCTTGGCGGCGGGCGCGGGCGCGGCCTTGCGCTTGAGCGAGCCGGGCGTGCGGTCGAGTGTGCCCCAGTGCGGGCCGGGCGCGGCCGGGCGCGGCGCGGGCTCGGCGCGGCCCTGCAGCGCGGCCGCGTCGGCGAGGTCGCGCTCGGAGCCGACGCGCCAGATCTTGTGGCGCGCGTCGTCGCTGCAGGTGACGAGCTTGAGGTCGGCGCGCGGGCCCCAGGCGGCGCACGTGACCTCGGCCCAGTGGCCGGCGAGGCGCACGAGCGGCTCGGAGCAGCGCACGTTCCACACGTAGGCGTGCTTGTCGCTGCTGCCGCTGACGAGGTAGGCGCCGTCGGGGCTGAGCCCGGTCTTGATGTAGAAGGTGCCGTTCTCGTGGCCGGTGTAGCGGCGCTCGGGCAGCGTGGCGTACGTGGACACGTTGAAGCAGTAGATGACGTTGTCCATGCAGCTGGCGTAGAGGCGCACGCGCGCGTCGTCGATGATGAGGTTGGTGTAGCCGTTCTTGGTGGAGCTGCCGCAGTACGGGATGGAGTGCTTGGGCAGCGGCTCGCGCTTGTAGGCGGAGTAGTTCTTGCGCATGTCCCACACCTTGATGTTCCCGTCGCACTCGCCGCAGGAGATGAGCGTCGAGTCGTCCTGGAAGACGAGGCCGGTGATGCTGGTGGCGCGGTGCGTGTCGATGCGCGGCCGCTTGGAGTGCGAGCCGGGGGTTTTCGGTGTGAAGCTGGAGTGGCAGTTCATCAGACAGTTGTCCGGTTTCAGGATGACGGCGGGTTGGCTGTTGGTGCGGATGTCCCAAACCAATATGTGGCCGTCCCGAGCTCCGGTGGCGAAGACCGTGGGTTCCGTCGGACGAAATACAGCAGTTTTCACTGACCTTGTGTGGTTGGAGAACACTTGGATCCTTTTGGGAGCACCTTCAGCCACATCCCAGAGGCACGCAGTGTGATCACCTGAGGAGAAACATTAGCAGTGTTAAATAATAGGGTTCTGATTTGAAATGACCTAAAAGATAGAAGAGAATGTCTCACCTGACACAGTAACAAAGTTCATGTAGCCCGGCATCCACGCCAGGTCGAACACGGCGTTGTTGTGGCACTGGAAGCCCTCCAGGGTGCTTGCTGAAGATATGCTGGATGTGTCCTACAAATAAACAAGATATTTTTTTATCAATGGGGATGTTGCCTGGGTCAAAAAGCAAGAGTTTTAATTAGTCCGTCAGTTAACTTATCAAAAAATACTCTACACGTATTTTTCACTTTTTCAAACTAATGAAAATTTAAAGAGATAAAGCGCCCCAAAGTTCATAAGAAGAGGCCCGTGACGTCAACGCTTGCTTAAAAATGCCGCACGTTGTGACGTCGTGCGCAACTTCAACGCACCATAACTATGTAATTATTTGTTAGATTGACAAATAAAATTATACGTGTCCAATATTTTTTGATATTAAACATTACGGACTAAAAAAATTTTTTTAGGCAACTAGCCTATTACTAGCGGCCACCCGCGACTCCGTACGCGTGGATTCCGTTTTTTGAATTTTGCAAAATCCCATCTTAGTGAGTATCTCTAAAAGTTCTAAAAGGAACCTCTATGCAAAATTTGCGACTCCTACCACTTGTAATTAGCCATAGATAAAACAATTCAACTACCATTTGGCGCGAAAATTTTAACAAAAATGTATAATGAAGTTTTGGGTCACTGGGAAGGACCTTCGGCCATACCTACAAATGTTCAGGGTTGCATGATTTAAATCACGATTTTTAATATCAATTTTCAATATCCGAAAATGGAATTGATAAAACACTGGCAGTGCATAATTAATCAATTGTAATGTTAATATTAGATGGTAAAGTATGAAATTGCCATTTTCTATGGAGAAATGTTCATTTTTCCATACATTTGATCGATTTTTTGAGAAATTTTGTCGGTAGATTGTGACAACATTAAGCTATAGGATATGTGCAGAAAGAAAAATTAAAATTAATAGTTGTAAAAAAATGTTAAACTTAGGACAAGCTTTTTTTGAGGATTTATTTCTAGTGAAAAAACAAAATAGGATTTTGTTTAAATCATGATTTTCAACCCTGTTCAGGACAGAGAGACTTTGAGAAATTGGTTCTTTTAAAGGGACCGACGGTCTTACGAGATTAGATAGCGAAATGCATTGTAAAATTGCAAACTTGATCATTCTCAGAATGGAAAGTAGTCAAAAGAAAGACTGTTGAAGCATATTAGGAACTTAATTTTAAATGAGATTTTTACCAAATTTTGATGTGTTTTTTTGTAGAAAGTACATTATTCTTGGGTGAAATAGGCTATAATTTTTTCCTGGCAGGCAAAAGTTAATGTCAGATAAATGGAACTGGCCCTAAGAAGATAGAAAATAAAAAAAATCTATCGCTACAGCTGAGCAGGCCTTACATCCTTGTCATTCAATGCTTATCTACTTTAAGTTATCCATTTTGGAATTTATAAACAGGCAGTTCTGTCTGCTTATAAATAATTTATTAATTACCCCAGAAATCAACAACCAACTAGGCACAGCCTGTATTGTAATGGAAAGGTTGTTTCTGCATTTCCAGTCAAGGTTTGTACTAAATGCATTTAAAGCTTGGAACACAAAATTTTTAAAATAAATATATTTTAATTGAATAAATAATTTAAACATTGAAAAATGTATTTTCTTGTATTTTCCCTCTTACTAGACTTATTATGGCTTCATAGCATCTATATCTATAAGGTTTTGTTGATGTTATTATTAATAGCTAGCTAACCTAAAATACCCATAACAAATAGGAAATTGTAAAAAAAACAGCAAGTAGGTAACTAGCATAAAAGGAGGGTTGCATGATTTAAATCACGTTTTTCATTGCATGATTTTTTAAATAAAAATCACTGATTTAAATCAATATCCGAAAATGGATTTATTGAAACGCTGGGAGTGCATATTAATCAACTGTAATCTTCGAAAATAATGTTTTATACCTATTAGGTGTTCAAGTATGAAATTGCCGTTTTGATTCTGCAGAAACCATGAGAGGGGTGGGTTAAAACCATACATAAAATGCATAATGGTCCAGATTGAAAGTTATATTACAAATAATTGGTTTGTGATTTTATAAAACGCGATGACCCACCTGAATAGCAACTCTGCCATCTTCGTTGGCGAGGGCGAGGATGTGCTCGTAGCCGGGAGCCTCCGAGAACCGGCACGCGAATATCGGGGGGTCCTGGTCGAAGTTGGCTGCGGGAACTGAGTTCTGCAGTCCGTAGAACGACTCCTCACCATTCACCACGAGGCGCTTCAGTACATTATCGTAGTTAAACCGACAATCTACAAAATCACACGACATGAAAAGATAGGGTTCGCAAAATTTAATACATTATGAAATGACCAATTTTATACTTACAAATGCCCAGTTGACGGTCTATAAGACATTGTATGTCGTTCATGTTTGAATTTTTCACATTTCAGTCACAAAATCAACGATGTACAGTCACTTTTAGCGATATTACTAGACTTTTCTACAAAAAACGAGTCGAACAAAACATGTTGTGACAGATCTGCGTTGACATTTGAAAAGGCGCGAAGAAAAAACGTTTCGTTTCATCACTGCATCACCACTACAAGACCACCACAACCCTAAATAAGTACCACAACACAATCGTTCGATCAAGTCGGGTCTTTAGGCATTGCATTATCTACCTTTCTCTATGACTGTCTAAAAATACAAAACTCAAAGCTTTATTGACATTCTTAAAAAACAGAGAATGGCAACATCGTTTTCATTTTGTGCCGCAAAATGAAATATTTTTCTTTCTGTTTTTTGTTGCTTTGAACGGCTAAAACCGAGTTTTAATGTTTGGTGTATTCTTTTATTTATTGACCTTGTAACGTTGATAACCCCTTTGTATTGATATCTGTTTGTTTTCTTGATTTATGAGCATTGAAAGTTGGCGGTTCAATCTTGGCTTTCTTTACTGGTTTTCCTGGTGACCGATCCTGATGGTGACCGATGCTACTGCGTAATGTAGCTATTGAAACCGTAAGTAAACACATAGATTCAGTTAAACTCGATTATTAACCTTCGAAGTCTCCCAAAATCATAATGCCTTCGTGTGGCTTGTGGTTCTCAACGAAAGCGTCTGTTATTTCAGGTTTATGGCATGGGACGTCTAAGAAAATGGACAATAATGCATTGATCGGCCGTCGGTTGCGGCTCGGTCGTATGTTCTCGGACGGGAGCTCTGAGTTGACGATCCGAGCGTATTGCGGATGGACCACACCTTTTCAGTGCCTCGCGCGCCTGTTCCGCCAGGCCCGGGGGCGCCCCGCGAGCCCGCGCAGCAGGCCCGGCCGGCCGACGGTCCCTTTATGAACAGCATGGACGAGATATCCTACTGGATCTGCACCAAGCAGGCCCCCTGCCTGTACAACTACGACAATGTGATAAAGAGGCAGTGCGAGGAAGCGCACTGCTCTAAACCTAAAAGTGTTCAAAGTATTACTATAGAGACACCTTCACCCAAGAAGAAGAAGAAAAGAAAGTTATCTCTGCTCGATGATGAGTCTGTGTCCACAGAAAAACAGCAAAATGTATATTTTGAAACGTCCCAGAGAAAGAGCCAGCAGACATTGCTGGAGAGCTGTAAGTCTGACACGCTCGGGTCCGATCTGGACTTCAACATTAAGAACTCTTCTATCAAAGGCAAGTCTAAAAAGGCCAGATTGTCTAAGTCCAATCGGACTATACATAAGAAGAATAAAATTGCTACTTCTACTCCCAAGGTGACTGGAACACTCAGGAGAAGCTTGCGTAAGGCTCAAAGGACTAATAACAATGGTCAAAACAATCACTCCTTTGAAACGTACAACTGTGAAATAATCAACGGAAGCAATACTAAATATAATAATGACAAAGAGAAATCTGCTAGTAGAACTAGAAAACTTGAAACACTCGCTGGCGGGGACCAGAGTATTGAAAAACAGAATTGTAATGAGAAAACTGCTAGGACACCTGTGAACGGTCAGTTTGATGATCTCAGTGATGTGTCTGGTTTCACTGCTAACTATATTCGCTCCACGAAGATCCATTCTGCTAAAAGAAATTTAAGAAATAAAGGTGGTAGAAACATAATCAAGGAGTCCCAGAGGAGCGTACAGAAAGATGACACATTGTTGGTTTGTGTGAACAAGTCGGTCAACACGGGGCTTCCAAAAACCCCAATGCTAAATTGCAGCACTGACTCGTCTCAAAACATTGTCAATTTGGTCACTTTGAAGAGCAACGATAAGTCTGCTAAGGTAAATAAAAGCACCTCCTTGTTAAAGTTTGTAGAAACTAAAAATGGTAAAAAAGCTACTTGCAATGCAGAAGACAAGCCGGCAACATCCAATCTGAACATCTCATTCCAGTCCAAGAGCAGTGCGACATCCAGGTACCCCAAGAGGACCAAAAACAGTTCCCCGGAGGACACGCCACAGAAGGTGGCACCGGACAAAAGAAGGAAGATCAGTAACTCAAATAACAAATCTGAGAGAAAGGAAAATCCTGAAGATAACGTATCCCGTACAAGAAGCGGGAAGTGCATAGGGCTGTCCGTGAGGCAGGCCGAGAACTCGGTGTTGGTGCTGAGCAACTCAATGGAGCAGGTGAGCTCGCTGGCCAGCCTGAACGTGGCCACGCCCTCGGGCTCGGAACCGCGCGGCCGGCCCAAGCGGCGACGGTGCGCCAACAAGCAAGTTGACTTGAAGAAACCGAGCTGTGGTGAACGCCCGGACTCCCTGAGAGACAAAAGTGGTTTCGCGGCGTGTTTCTCGGACAGTGACGAGGACAATGTGCCGTTGAAGGAGAGGAAGTTCTTCTGTTAGTGCATAATTCAATTTAAAGACTGTATACTTTAGTGACTTTTACGAAGAATTTGTTAGTGACTGCATATTTACTGGTTTTGGATAAATGAATTGATGACATTCCACATAAGAAGGTTCTAATGCTCGAGTTATTGATTTGTAACTAATTAATTGATGTTTGAAATTTTATCTAATGTTATATTCAATTAATGTGTTCCATGCTGAATGTTGATGACACCGATCCAATGAATTTTATTTACTTATGAACGATCAGACAGAGAGTCAGGGCTTGTTATGTGGGATTGTTATAAACATTTGACTAATGTAGAGTTGTCCATTTGGTATAATATAATCAACGATTCCTTAGAATGACTGTCTCTGCCAGCCCAGTGCCTGCATTCAGTTACTGTATATTGTATACTCAAAATATACCTTTAAATAATAATAATAATATCATAGTCATGCTCACATTATCTTAGCCTATTAACTGCATGTAAATTAATTAGAATGTTATAATTTAAAAAAACTTGTGTGCATGACACAAATAAAATTTGTGTTAAATTTTTGTTATAAAAGTGCCATTATAATAATTATACACTTGTATTTTATTTAGATCTAAGTTGCAGCATGACCGGAATGACGTTTTATTATAAATAGCAATAGATATTTAAATATCTTATGTTCAGTTTGTATCAAATTATTGTGTAAAATATCTGCTTTTATGTATTTAAAATTGCATATTAAACTTAATGTTATGCAATCTATGATTTTATTATACAAAGCAAAACCTGTGGTAAATATTCCACAATGCCAATTTAATCATATCAACAGAGATAATATTAATAATGTAGGTAGACAATGTCTATTGGAATATTGAGCAGCTTGTATGGCTTTGTGGAATATTTAATCACTAGATGACCCGAGTTCTATTCCCGATTGTATCTGCTTGGCGAGCTATTAGAGGATCTTCCTCTTGCGCGAAATATATAAATTGTAACTTTATTTCAATATAATTAACTTCCTTCGTAAACCGATTACAAAAACTTGTCCTACCTTACCTATTACGTCACTCATCTTTATGTACACATACACATGCACACACAGATAGCATGCAGTCACAGTTACAATCATATATCTACTGTGGTTACAAGCACCGTATCGCACACCGGCCACCGCTCGTTCCCTGTGTTATTTGTGATTACAGTTTAGTGGAAACATGCGATGTATATTTAAGTGGCTAGCCTATTACGAGTAGAATCTGTGAATCCGGCATTGTCTCAAGAGGTTAGATAACATTAAAATAAATTGCGGTGACAATTCCGTTGTTTATCAGATTTCGCTCAGCGCGGGTTCAGAAGCGTACAGTCAGTAGTTCACGTTTTAACAAAATTAGTATCAAGATGGTTGCCGATTTTACGAATAAAGTTGTGTTGGTGACCGGCGCGAGCGCGGGAATCGGGGAGGCCATCGCACTGTTGTTTGCGAAGCTTGGCGCCAAGTTGGCGATCGTGGGCCGGGACGCCGGGAACCTGGGGAGCGTGGCCAAGCGCTGCCAGGCCGAGAAAGGCCTGGCCCCGCTGGCGATCGTAGCCGACTTGGCCACGGATGCCGGCTGCGACAAAACTGCCAAGGACACCCTCGTGCATTTTGGAAGGTAAAAGATTGTTCATTTGATAACGAAGTCATAAGTTAATTAAGTAATTCTTTGTTTTTTAAAAAGACGTGTTTGTTCAAACACTTCGAGAATGGCTGGACCGATTTTCATGGATTTTGATTTGTTGTACCTATTTGTGTCCGTCTCGAAAATTGACGAAAAAATAAAATAAAAGAATAAACGTTTTCCCGTACAAAATGCTTTAAAAAGTATGTAGTGGGATGGGCGTGCTGTTTTAATTTGAAAATTTGTTATTCGAATTTATTTATGTATTTTCAGAGATAACTACTCGTATCTGCTATCAAACAACACTAATAATATTAAAATTATTAGGACCGCATTTCCTGTTATAAATTACGTTTTAGGTAGGTATTTACCTACCTAATGAAATTCGGCTTCAGTAGATAATTATAATCTGACTTGTTGTATGGTTTACTGGAGTTTTATGTAATAAGAACACGAGATTATTGTGCTGTGCTCATAAGTATACTAAGTATAGCGTGCTCCATAGCGTATAGCGTGGAGAGTCCTAAGTACTTCCCTACTTTTATAATTCTGTGTAGGCCTCAGTAATCCTCATATTGCTTCTGGTAAATTAGAGGGTCGTGCTGACCAAATGATGTTGTGATACTAGGTTCAAAATCGACCTTTACCAAACTCAAGTGGCAGTGGCCAGAGCACATAGTAGCTCGTAGAGCTGATGCTTATGGCCGTTGGGGCTGAAAAGTTCGTTCTCGTGTGGTGACCACCTGCCGGAAAAGACAGCCTTCCCACTAGGTGGACCGACGATCTGGTGTAGATCGCAGGAAGGTCTGGATGCGGGCAGCGCAGGAGCGGTTGTAAAAATCCTTGGCGGAGGCTTTTGTCCAGCTGTGGACGTCAATTAGCTGAAACGAAACGAACGTAGTAGAGGGAGACTGCGTAATTTACGTTCCTGTCGGAAAGAATGAATGAACTCACGGGATATCCGCTGAAATCCAGTGCACTCCAGTGTCTGGAAATTTTTTAATGTCCCGCTCATTTACCGTACTCACAAGATTAATTAGGTCCTACTTTAGCTGATGAATTTCTTATGAATGTGTGTTGAAAAGGTTTCTACAATCTTTCAGGCTAGATGTGCTGATCAACAACGTGGGCGTGGGGGCACGCACGTGCATCCAGCGCGCCGACATGGAGACCTTTGACCGCGTGTTCAGCACCAACGTGCGCGGCGTGTACAACCTCACGCGCCAGCTCGTGCCCGCGCTTATCAAGAGCAAAGGCAACATCGTCAACATCTCTAGCATCGCTGGCACCTGCGTGTCTGTGGGCAGTCTACCCTACGGCATGTCCAAGGTATTACTCGCGTTTTAGCGTTGGCTCACAGGTACGGGCGTGCACGGGCTGAACTGGTAACCAGCCACGGCCGATGCTTCCATGCGTCCACTGCTGGACATAAGTATGCCTCCCCCAGTTTATATTCTGTGGTGTGGTAATTAATCCAAAGTAGTTTCCTATTACAAGTTTTGTTTAATTGGAGCTAAAGGGCGCAATAGGATTCAAGGATATTTTTTTAAATATGCGTGGCGTGGGTTGTAAATCAGTGCTGGCACCGAGGTAGACCCAATTGACCAAGAGCGCCAAAATACTACACGCCTACCTACTAATGAAGCGTTTTAAGACACCGAAGAAGCGTCGAAATATGAAATAGAAATGCTTGATCTGACGACTCAATATCTAATGGCAGAACGTGTCGTCTCGGTTAGAATTGGGTAGCTAAATCATGAATGTCCATGCATGTGATGTCAGGCTTTATGTAAGAAGTGCAATAAAGCCATGTTCGCTTGCAGGCGGCGCTGGACCACTTCTCGAAGCTCATCGCGCTGGAGCTGGCGCCGCTGGGCGTGCGAGTCAACACTGTCAGCCCCGGCGTCACTGTGAGTACATAATCTGCTTCCACTCGAGAACTTTTCAGCCCCAACGGCCATCAGCTCTACGAGCTATGAGCACTGCCACGTTTAGCAACTCTGTGGGCTATGTCGATCACTTTGGTTTTTCTGCGGATTTCCGCATTTCAGATTCCAACACGTAAGAAAACTCCGAGCATAGCACGCCCTTTGGGTGGTATAATCACTCCTGAATGTTTATTTTGTCCTCATATTAAACCGCAAGCATAGCACGCTCCATCGCCCTTTGGGTAATCACTACTCAATCTTTCTTTTGTCCTCATATTTTATTTTTTATCGCAATCCCCAGATAAGCAAGTTCGTGCAGCGACTCACGGACTTACTTTTAAAAACTAAAATCTTCATAGTTTTTTTTTTTGACGCACTCGCTAGCGAGCACACATATAGAACTAACGTAAACTCATGGTAAGCACACTGATTCGATCACGCAGGGAAACTCCAAGCATAGCACGTTCCATCGCCCTTTGGATAATCACTCCTCAATCTCTTTTGTCCTCATATTTTATTTTCGCAATCCCCAGATAAGCAAGTTCGTGCAGCGTCTCACGGACTACACCGAGGAGCAGTACCAGGCGTGGCTGCAGGAGGCCTCGGGCTCCATCCCGCTGGGGCGCGTGTGCTCGGGCGAGGACATCGCCAAGATGGTGGCTCACCTGGCCAGCGACGAGCTCAGCGCGCTCGTCACCGGCACCGTGGTGCAGGTCGACGGAGGCCTGCAATACTCCAGCGTCGGCGGGCTGATGCAGAAGCAGATGAAGTAGCGCTTCAGTGCTTAATAGAAATTATCAACTTAAAAATGCATTATGAATACAATAAATGGACCAAAAATGTTGTTAATTTAAAAACCTCTGACGGTTAGAAAAATCTTAAACACGTCATGTTGAACATTAGTATGAATAATTACATTTCCATACCAAACGATAATTAAAACAAGTGTTTAACGGGTGTTTAAGTTATTGTAATAAGCCCATGAAAGATTTAATATTTGTAATCTACCTATGGCCAATCAGCTGCTGTTCAGTGCCAGTATTGCTACAAATGTCATTCATTTGAATTCGGGAGCGGGAAAAAACGACAGATTAACGTGGCGTGCGGATGGTTAATTACGCGCGCTTTTAGGCTTAAGATTTTGGTTGTAAAAGAGGAAATAATATAAATCTAAGTTAAGTACATCCAGTGTTTTATTTAATACCAACTGACCCGGCGAACTTCATCAGGTTCATCGGGGTTAATGTAGGATTCTAATGGTGAAAGACGGCTCGTTACCAATGATAATTATGGGCATTACGAGTATCTATGTAGGTATGGCTCACGCGACTTGCACATTACAAGGAAAATTATTGTAGTTACCTAGCTACATAGGTTCTAAAAGTTACTTAGTAGGTACCTATTAGAGAGTGTGAAAGAAAGAAATCTTGATTAGTTAATTGATTCCGCAACTTTAACATTTTACGTAAAACTATCAAGACTCTCCCAGTCGCACCTTGTAGTAAACCCCCTGATCGTATCGATTGCCCTTATAATCAACTTTTAGAAAAAAGTAGGTAGCTAGGTACCTACCTACTTAATTAATTAGAATGTTATTTTAAAACTTCTCTGAGTTGGGTTGGATCAGATTTTCAAAAATTTCATTTCAAAATATGTATAAGCATTCTATCTTTCACAATAATCAATTGCAACTTGACACTTATCATTGTCCCATACAATTTATCAACATAAGTAAGTAGGTAGGTACCTACATAGTCATACCATAAGTGCATGTTGATGCGATGTGTATCAAGTGACTGTTGTGATTCGGAACCGGTAGGTATTGTTTCGAGAGGATAGATAACTAGAAAATAAATTGCGATTACAGCCGCGTTTTATAACAGTATCGCACGCACGGCACATACTTAATCAGAAGCGTACAAAATCTCTCCTTTTAAGAAAATTTGTGACAATGGTTCCCGATTTTACGAATAAAGTTGTGTTGGTGACCGGCGCGAGCGCGGGAATCGGGGAGGCCATCGCGCTGTTGTTTGCGAAGCTTGGCGCGAACTTGGCGATCGTGGGCCGGGACGCCGGGAACCTGGGGAGCGTGGCCAAGCGCTGCCAGGCCGAGAGAGGCCTGGCCCCGCTGGCGATCGTAGCCGACTTGGCCACGGATGCCGGCTGCGACAAAACTGCCAAGGATACACTCGCACATTATGGAAGGTAAACGATTGTTCATTTGATAACGAAGTCTTATGTTAATTAAGTAATTCTTTGTTTTTTTAAAAGACGTGTTTGTTCAAACACTTTGAGAATGGCTGGACCGATTTTCATGGATTTTGATTTGTTGTGCCTATTTGTGTCCGTCTCGAAAATTGACGAAAAAATAAAATAAAAGAATAAACGTTTTCCCGTACAAAATGCTTTAAAAAGTATGTAGTGGGATGGGCGTGCTGTTTTAATTTGAAAATTTGTTATTCGAATTTATTTATGTATTTTCAGAGATAACTACTCGTATCTGCTATCAAACAACACTAATAATATTAAAATTATTAGGACCGCATTTCCTGTTATAAATTACGTTACTTAGGTAGGTATTTACCTAATGAAATTCGGCTTCAGTAGATAATTATAATCTGACTTGTTGTATGGTTTACTGGAGTTTTATGTAATAAGAACACGAGATTATTGTGCTGTGCTCGTAAGTATACTAAGTATAGCGTGCTCCATAGCGTATAAGGTGGAGAGTCCTAAGTACTTCCCTACTTTTATAATTCTGTGTAGGCCTCAGTAATCCTCATATTGCTTCTGGTAAATTAGAGGGTCGTGCTGACCAAATGATGTTGTGATACTAGGTTCAAAATCGACCTTTACCAAACTCAAGTGGCAGTGGCCAGAGCACATAGTAGCTCGTAGAGCTGATGCTTATGGCCGTTGGGGCTGAAAAGTTCGTTCTCGTGTGGTGACCACCTGCCGGAAAAGACAGCCTTCCCACTAGGTGGACCGACGATCTGGTGTAGATCGCAGGAAGGTCTGGATGCGGGCAGTGCAAGAGCGATTGAAAAAATCCTTGGCGGAAGCTTTAGTCCAGCTGTGGACGTCAATTAGCTGAAACGAAACGAACGTAGGAGAGGGAGACTGCGTAATTTACGTTCCTGTCGGAAAGAATGAATGAACTAACAGGATCGAACGAACTAACGGGATCGGAACGGGATATCCAGTTTTTAAATGTCTCGCTCATTTACCGTACTCACAAGATTAATTAGGTCCTACTTTAGCTGATGAATTTCTTATGAATGTGTGTTGAAAAGGTTTCTACAATCTTTCAGGCTAGATGTGCTGATCAACAACGTGGGCGTGGGTGCGCGCACGTGCATCCAGCGCGCCGACATGGAGACCTTCGACCGCGTGTTCAGCACCAACGTGCGCGGCGTGTACAACCTCACGCGCCAGCTCGTGCCCGCGCTCATCAAGAGCAAAGGCAACATCGTCAACATTTCCAGCATCGCTGGCTCCTGCGTGTCTGTGGGCAGTCTACCCTACGGCATGTCCAAGGTATTTATTTACTCGCGTTTTAGCGTTAGCTCACGGGTACGGGCGTGCACGGGCTGAACTGGTAACCAGCCACGGCCGATGCTTCCATGCGTCCACAGCTGGACATAAGTATGCCTCCCCCAGTTTATATTCTGTGGTCTGGTAATTAATCTAAAGTAGTTTCCTATTACAAGTTTTGTTTAATTGGAGCTAAAGGGCGCAATAGGATTCAAGAATATTTTTTTTTAATTATGCGTGGCGTGGGGTGTAAAACAGTGCTGGCACCGAGGTAGACCCAATTGACCAAGAGCGCCAAAATACTACACGCCAACTAAATAAACGTTTTAAGACACCATAGAAGCGTCGAAGTATGAACCAGAAATGCTTGATCTGACGACTCAATATCAAATGGCAGAACGTGTCGTCTCGTTTAGAATTGGGTAACTAGCTAAACCATGAATACAACATTGGAAATGTCCATGCATGTGATGTTAGGTTTTATGTAAGAAGTGCAATAAAGGCCATGTTCGCTTGCAGGCGGCGCTGGACCACTTCTCGAAGCTCATCGCGTTGGAGCTGGCGCCGCTGGGTGTGCGTGTCAACACTGTCAGCCCCGGCGTCACTGTGAGTACATAATCTGCTTCCACTCGAGAACTTTTAAGCCCCAACGGCCATCAGCTCTACGTAGCTCGTAGAGCACTGCCACGTTTAGCAATTCTCTGTGCTATGTCGAGACTGGTTTTTCTGCGGATCTCCTCATTTCAGTGTGCTCACCATGATAAATGTTTGCTCGCTAGCGGTTACTTTTAAAAACTAAAATCTTTATAGTTATTTTTTTTGACGCACTCGCTAGCGAGCACACATACCCAGGACTAACGTAAGCTCATGGTAAGCACACTTATTCGATCACGCAGGGCAACTCCAAGCATAGCACGTTTCATCGCTCTTTGGGTCATAGTCACTCCTCAATCTTTCTTTTGTCCTCATATTTTTATCGCAATCCCCAGATAAGCAAGTTCGTGCAGCGTCTCACGGACTACACCGAGGAGCAGTACCAGGCGTGGCTGCAGGAGGCCTCGGGCTCCATCCCGCTGGGGCGCGTGTGCTCGGGCGAGGACATCGCCAAGATGGTGGCTCACCTGGCCAGCGACGAGCTCAGCGCGCTCGTCACCGGCACCGTGGTGCAGGTCGACGGAGGCCTGCAATACTCCAGCGTCGGCGGGCTGATGCAGAAGCAGATGAAGTAGCGCTTCAGTGCTTAATAGAAATTATCAACTTGAAAATGCATTATGAATACAACAATAAACAAAGACAAAAAATATTGTTATTTTCAAAAATGTAACGGCCTTATTACAAAAACTTAAACACGTCATGTTGGACATTAGTTTAAAATGTCATTTATTTATTTATTTATTTATGGCACACCTACAGAGATCAAACAATAACAATACAATTACTTAATATCATTTCCATACCAAATGACAATTTAAACAAGTGTTTAACGGGTGTTTAAGTAATTGTAGTTAAGCCCATGAATGTTTTAATATTCGTAACCTATGGCCAATCAGCTGCTGTTCAGTGCCAGTATTGCTACAAATGTCATTCATTTGAATTCGGGAGCGGGAAAAAACGACAGATTAACGTGGCGTGCGGATGGTTAATTACGCGCGCTTTTAGGCTTAAGATTTTGGTTGTAAAAGAGGAAATAATATAAATCCAAGTTAAGTACATCCAGTGTTTTATTTAATACCAACTGACCCGGCGAACTTCATCAGGTTCATCAGGGTTAATGTAGGATTCTAATGGTGAAAGACGGCTCGTTGCCAATGATAATTATGGGCATTATGTATGGCTCACGCGACTTGCGCATTACAAAAATTTTACGAAAATTATTGTACCTACATAGGTTCTAAAAGTTACTTAGTACCTATTAGAGAGTGTGAAAGAAAGAAATCTTGATTAGTTAATTGATTCCGCAACTTTAACATTTTACGTAAAACTATCAAGACTCCCAGTCGCTCCTTGTAGTAAACCCCCTAATCGTATTGATTGCCCTTAAAATCAACTTTTAGAAAAAAGTAGGTACCTACTTAATTAATTAACTAGAATGTTATTTTAAATTTTCTCTGCGTTGGGTTGAATCAGATTTTCAATTTCATTTCAAAATATAAACATTCCTACATAGTCATCATACCTACCATAAGTGCATGTTGATGCGATGTGTATCAAGTGACTGTTGTGATCCGGAACCGGTAGGTATTGTTTCGAGAGGACAGATAACTAGAAAATAAATTGCGATTACAGCCGCATTTTATAACAGTATCGCACAGCATAGCTTCAGAAGCGTACAAAATCTCTCCTTTTAAGAAAAATAAAAAACTTTTAAGAAAAGTTGTGACAATGGTTCCCGATTTTACGAATAAAGTTGTGTTGGTGACAGGCGCGAGCGCGGGAATCGGGGAGGCCATCGCGCTGTTGTTTGCGAAGCTTGGCGCGAAGTTGGCGATCGTGGGCCGGGACGCCGGGAACCTGGGGAGCGTGGCCAAGCGCTGCCAGGCCGAGAGAGGCCTGGCCCCGCTGGCGATCGTAGCCGACTTGGCCACGGATGCCGGCTGCGATAAAACTGCCAAGGATACACTCGCACATTATGGAAGGTAAGCGATCGTTCATTATGTAAGTATACTTATTTATTTGAACCCATCAATGTAGGCCAAATACTCCAATTGCCTCTGTTAATTAGAGATGCTATCTGACCTGATGATGATGATGAGGATTCATTCCTTGTCGGAAATAATGAACAATAGCGGACGTTTCTTGCTGGAATCCCGCATCAGCCATCATAAGTCGTTTCGACCAAAGTAACAAAAGAGCAAACCTTCCTAGTGTTTAGTTTAAGATGATTAGCTGTTGTGTACTTGTTGGTCTTGTATAAAGCTTTATCTATGCATGTATGTTTCAGGCTAGATGTGCTGATAAACAACGCGGGCGTGGGGGCACGCACGTGCATCCAGAACGCAGACATGGAGACCTTTGACCGCGTGTTCAATACGAACGTGCGCGGCGTGTACAATCTCACGCGTCAGCTCGTGCCCGCGCTCATCAAGAGCAAAGGCAACATCATCAACATCTCTAGCATCGCCGGCACCTGCGTGACGGTGGGCAGCTTGCCCTACCCCATGTCCAAGGTAATCCGCGTCTTTGCCATGGTATTTGCCCCAGGCATGGGCTCAAAACTGATCGCCATCGCCTAGCTTAGTAGTTCGCGAACAGGATTTACTAGTGGTTGCGGGTTGAATTCCTGCACAATACAAACATAAATATCCGTTTATGCAGGTAAGAGTGTTTCCTAGTCTTTACCGTGACTAGGGATTCAAAATCAAATCGACTAGGGATTCTAAATAATATTAAGGCTTTATGAAAAAGTGCAACAAATGCCTTGTGCGCTTGCAGGCGGCGCTGGACCACTTCTCAAAACTCATCGCTCTAGAACTGGCACCACTGGGGGTGCGCGTCAACACCGTTAGCCCCGGCGTCACTGTGAGTACTTTAACCCACTACTTAATACCCCCTTCCTTACTGATCAAAGTTACGTACACGGGCATTGAACAGGGTGTTGCCGCCCCTTTGAAAAATATCGGGTTATTTTGTCTAGATCAGCCTTAAGAAGGCTAATCAAGACAATCTAGGTGGACCGACGATCTGGTGAAGGTCGCGAGAGGTGCCTGGATGCGAGCGGCGCAGGACCGGTCTTTGTGGAAATCCTTGGGGGAGGCCTTTGTCCAGCAGTGGACGTCTTTCGGCTGAAACAACAACAACAACAGTCTCTTATTTTTCATTAATTTACAACCCCAGGTGAGCAAGTTCGTGCAGCGACTCACGGACTACAACGAGAAGCAGTACCAGGACTGGCTGAAGAACGCCTCGGGCTCCATCCCGCTGGGGCGCGTGTGCTCGGGAGAGGACATCGCCAAGATGGTGGCGCACCTGGCCAGCGACGAGCTCAGTCCGCTTGTCACCGGCACCGTGGTGGAGGTCGACGGAGGCATGCGGTTCGGAAACATCGGCGGGCTAGTGCAGAGTTATGCAAAATAAGCAAACGAAGTAGATCTTGGTAAACGAAGTGGCTATGTTCTTTAAATTTCAATAGGTACTCATTGTTGAAAAGCCAAAATAAATAAATAAATAAATCTCTAACTTCGTCAATATAGTAGACCCTCAATCATCATTAAGCACATTACGTACATACTATTTTTTAACCCCCTACCCCTCCCTCTTGTTTAATATTTATTATGTGATAAAAACTACCAAGATGCTCCCTCCCCTTGTTAGATACAAAAGACATGGTCCAAGTCCCCTTCCTCCTAATCGTCTTACGTAAAAATAAGTGCCTCATATCAATCAAAATCACTTGATTTGATTTTGTAGGTACCCATATTAAACTAATTTTAGGTAAATAGATTACTTCTACTTATGTACCTATTTTATTTTTATTTTACAAAAAACATACAGTTTTTATGTTACCTACAAACCTAAGAAAAGCGCAATAAACTAATTAGCTAGTTACAAAGTTCTAAGAAATTACCTGGCCTTACCAATTTTTTTTTCAAAATAGATAGAGTTTCTCTCAAAAAGTTACGCAAAGGTGGAAATCATGGTGAAACCTAGAGTGGAATTTAAGTACTTATCTCAGAACACTTAAGGTAAACGGCTACTAGTTCGTGATAGTACGTAAGTTCGTAAGTTTTTTTTCTAGCTCAAATAATAAGCAAATGGAATATTATTTATAAAAATTCTTTATTACTACAAAAACTCTATTATTTAAGCTATCTAAAAAACCAAGTACCAACATTGTGGCGCCAAAAATGAGAGCAATACGAAGCTTCAAACTCTCAGAGAGCCAAAAACAGCCGTGCGGCGTGAAAATGTTGCTCTCACCGTAAGGTTAGCGCTCCAACTTCTTTTAAGCTTATAAAAAGGCGAAGAAACGTCCATTTGCATAAAACTTGTAATAGTGGTTTCATGTGTTCCTTGACAATTGATTTGGCTTAGAAAAAAGTTATATGAAAACGTAGAATTCCTTTAAAATTGCGATTAGGGGGGGGGGGGTAAGGCCCCCCTACATTTCTGTTGGTTATATAAATATTTTCACATATTGTTAGAATAATAAATCAAAACTTTATACGAAGGTACGTACCTACTTAGCTAGACAGACTCACATTATTTCTCATGAATGTTTCAGGTAAGTAATATCGTCAATTTCACAGAATTCTTTTATTCTAAATTTATACTATCGTTTTTAAATCTACTAAACCCTTAATCATTATTAAAATATCCTAACTCGATGCGTAAAACTTTATCCCGAAATAGGGGACATGAGTTCACGAACTTAGAAACAGAGCAAAATTTTATCACGAAACAGGATCCAAACAAGAGGTCCGCAGAACAATTAATATTAAAAAAAGTTTAAACAATATAACTATAATTTATGTATTAAGTTACTGTCAAAAGACCAAACTTTAGCATAGAAAAGCTTTCATACTGATATCATCCTTGGTTATTTTTAAATAAATTGTTAAAGTCGTAAGAGCCTTAATATACCGAAGTAGGGGGCACTTACCTTAGGCAGGTACCTGATTGTTTTTCAAAAGTACGAGTACGTTTGCTGCATTCATACTTAAGTAACACGCGATCGATATCTGGCGTCAAGAAGGCCACCCATCAGAACGTCAACTATTTGCACTAAGAGGTACATAATCAATATGTACTTTCTAATTTAACTGTCCAAATAGTCCCGTTAACCCCTGGTGGTAAGTCAATATGCTTGTGTTACGAAAATGGGTTTCTCCTCGGTAGTCCAGCGGCGATGGGGTTCGAAACAGTTCAAAACCGCCACCATTATTCATCATCATCATCATCATCATGTCAGCCATAGGACGTCCACTGCTGAACATAGGCCTCCCCCAATGATTTCCACATCGCACGGTTGGTAGCGGCCTGCATCCAGCGCCTTCCTGCTACCTTTATCAGGTCGTCGGTCTACCATTATGGTCGCGTCTAAATTAAACTGCCTCCTTGACTACTTTTTATCTAACTGTACTTTATTATTTCATTTGATAAATGTCACATTGTTTAGTAAGTACATAACAACATCAAAATAACATTTACTTTTAGTCTATCGACCGATGAATCATCAAGTTATTAGGTACCTACTTATTTTATTTTCCTTAATCTCGTCAACATACCTGGTATCTAACACCTAGTCAAAACAAATCATCAACAACAATATTCTACGATAGGTATTTTGTTTATTATTTTTTAATTACTTTGAGGTAATGGTACGTAATTATGAAGTTAGGATCTTCTACATAATATCCGAATTTCAATTTGAACGGGTACTTAGTAGAGGAAATATCTATTTCGAAAATAGATAATTTGATTTTGGTACCTACTTCGTTCGTTCGTTCGAAGTAGGTACCAAAATCCTACTACTAGTTGTAGGTATCTCAATTATTTTTTGCATCCATAATGTTACAGAGGTGGTATGGTATTAGGTAAGGACGTAAGACGGGCACAGCATATAAGGAGAGGGGAAGAATTTTTGAAAATTTAATTAATTAATCCAATTGTAAGTAATAGGATCATACCTATCTGCGGAAAGATAGATCCCACCAAAAACATTCTGTAAAAAACTAGCCAAGTCTCGATGGAGCTGCTTGTTTATCTCTAAAAAGTAATGAAATCTAGATAAAGTCGTGCCAAGTCTATGGTTCCTTACTGCGATTTCTTTATTATTATACTTAATGTTGTGTGACTTGGCCGTTGAACAATCTTTATTATGATAATCATCCATATTAAGTATTATTGAAATACGCAGCTTTATTAAGCCTACAATTGACTGGTTATTGAATCAACGTTTTCCAAGTGGCAATTTTCCATCGTCAATGGGTAGCGGCTCTGGCGACAGATTGGTGCAATGATGTCATGGAGCACCTGATTTTGTACCCTTCAACGGCCAAGTCACACAACATTAAGTATAATAATAAAGAAATCGCAGTAAGGAACCATAGACTTGGCACGACTTTATCTAGATTTCATTACTTTTTAGAGATAAACAAGCAGCTCCATCGAGACTTGGCTAGTTTTTTACAGAATGTTTTTGGTGGGATTTCACTTCTTTTTGTAGAAAGTGGCATAATTATTATTTAACGTCGTCGTCTTTTAATATTACCGACATTTTTTCTTACGATATTAAACATAAATTAACTCAACGACCTTTAAAATGGACAAAATCAGAATGATTGGTTTAATAACTTAACCATAGCGAACCTCACGATATAATAATAAAGAAATCGCAGTAAGGAACCATAGACTTGGCACGACTTTATCTAGATTTCATTACTTTTTAGAGATAAACAAGCAGCTCCATCGAGACTTGGCTAGTTTTTTACAGAATGTTTTTGGTGGGATTTCACTTCTTTTTATAGAAAGTGGCATAATTATTATTTGACGTCGTCGTCTTTTAATATTACCGAGTACCGACATTTTTTTTACGATATTAAACATAAATTAACTCAACGACCTTTAAAATGGACAAAATCAGAATGNACCGAATCAAGGATATTATGGATAATATTTTGATACTTGGTTTTTAAATAATTATTTATGATAATTGAAATGTAAGTTATGAAACAAATAATACATTTATTTAAGTTTCTCATGATCCAAATTCGGTATATGTTTCGTTCACTAGAATTTATATGACACGAGTTTGAAGTTCACATAAATGACCAATTTTAAGATAAATTAGCATAAGTACTACCAGCGTAATTTTGGTTTTAATTCGATTCGTTTTATTTATCTTGGTTTATTTGTATTTTATATGGGATAGATAATAGTTAATTGACACATCCATGAATTTTACTTGGGGAATTTGGAATAATCAGTATCACGAAACAAGGAACCGTAATTATTAATACTTTTTCTCAAGTTCGTGATATATAAATGTATAGTGTTAGGTACTTGTATGACACATAACATCAAAGAAATCGACATATTTGTAATAAATTAATTAATTTTTATTATGAGTCATTGGCGTATATGGGGTTATCAGGGGGGGGGGGAGTACCCTCACTTGAAGCAGCTCCAGAGGTGGGGGGTTAGTCCAACCCCCACATTTTTTAAATTTAGACTTGTATGAATATTTTCACATATCGTTAGAATTAAAAAAATCTATATTTTATGGGTACGAAGGGGGGGGGGGGGGGGGGGTATAATAATAAAGAAATCGCAGTAAGGAACCATAGACTTGGCACGACTTTATCTAGATTTCATTACTTTTTAGAGATAAACAAGCAGCTCCATCGAGACTTGGCTAGTTTTTTACAGAATGTTTTTGGTGGGATTTCACTTCTTTTTATAGAAAGTGGCATAATTATTATTTGACGTCGTCGTCTTTTAATATTACCGAGTACCGACATTTTTTTTACGATATTAAACATAAATTAACTCAACGACCTTTAAAATGGACAAAATCAGAATGGGGATGTTGCCTGGGTCAAAAAGCAAGAGTTTTAATTAGTCCGTCAGTTAACTTATCAAAAAATACTTTACACGTATTTTTCACTTTTTCAAACTAATGAAAATTTAAAGAGATATAGCGCCCCAAAGTTCATAAGAAGAGGCCCGTGACGTCACCGCTTGCTTAAAAATGCCGCACGTTGTGACGTCGTGCGCAACTTCAACGCACCATAACTATGTAATTATTTGTTAGATTGACAAATAAAATTATATGTGTCCAATATTTTTTGATATTAAACATTACGGACTAAAAAAATTTTTTTAGGCAACTAGCCTATTATTGGTTTAATAACTTAACCATAGCGAACCTCACGATATAATAAACGAAATCAACGAAATTAAAACTACACAACATTCAACTTAATCGACGGGGGGGTCTAGAAAGGAAAAAAAATCTGGACACCGCGGTGCAGAAAATCGACGCTCAAAGTGCTAGCGCCATATAGCGGTGAGCGGTACAGGCGAACACCACGGTGCCGGTGTGGCGCTAGTAGTATTGATTATGAATGTGGTGTTACTCCAGACCTTCGATTTTCCTAGTTTTTATAGTTTTCCCTTTAAGTGGCCATTAAACCCTAACTCTGTACCAAATTTCAGCTCTCTGAGTTTATGGGAAGTACTAGTTCTATTTTGATGATCATCAGTGAGTGAGTGAGTGTCATAAATGCGAAACTTTGCTTTCGCTTAACTTCGGAACTAAATGACCTACAGACTTGAAATTTTGGATTTTAACTATGTGATTATAGCTTACTAGATGACGAAAATTTCTGCGTTCTGGTCTTATCCAGAGGTTCTCAAATAGGGGCCTGAAAATGCGGCGAAATGGTTCCAGTAAAGGATGGTACGGCAGTGTTTGCTTCGCGCTCGACTTGGCGGGGGCACTGCCGTGCCCCCAGATTAAAATACATTTCATCAGAGTAGCTGTTACTGTTACACTCTTGGAATCGGATCCAGTCACCATTGAAATGACGTAAACGAATAGTGTAGGTTCTTCCCGCGTGCCCTCATCTTTTTATATTGACCAGTTGCTATTGTTTATTGTTAATGTTAGTTATCCGCTTACTATTTATTGGAATCAAGCACAAGTAGGTCGTCAGTCTGGATCTTAATCCATTCTTCTACACTTGTGGTAACTGAAGCAACGTGTGCCCTGCTTCTAATGGCTCCGTGACTGTTAATGTCAGTACTTAATTTGTCACTAGGTTAATTTATAATTTATTCAGTTATTTTGCATCAACTAAACCTGTCACCGGGCAGTTTACCCTATCGATAATATTCCTTCACCTTTGCTATGCAGATAGCAAACACATACAATATATAAAACTTCTGAGTTTCGACGATAGTTACGAGTGGAATCTGCAGCGTGAAAGGTTAGTACCTACTTGTACTGTGTTTTAATATTCAATAAATTTATTGCGTTACCATAATTATGTAAGGTAGGTGGTTAGGTCCATTTGTTTCTGTCTTTTTTGAATCTTTTCTTTTTTATTTTGTTTATAAATGTACTCACTTAGGCACGTTATCTTCCTTGCAGATGATGCAGATGAATTTAGTAGTTTTGTTAGCGAGTGCTGCCTTGGTTAGTGGCTATGGAGTTACGAGTAAGTTGCACGGCGGTTATTACCGAGTCCCAGCTAACGCCGGAACTGTGCTGATGAAAGACGTCGAGAAGCCCTACCAGCTGGCCCTCGACCGCGACACCAACACCTTGTTCTTCAGCTACACCGTCGACGAACAACGCCGGCGCGAAGGAGATGACAACGCCTTCCGCTCTGCTTACGTTAACTTAAAAGACGGCACTTCAGGCACCATCCCCGGCGTGCACAATGGCTTCGCCAACGCTTACGACACCCAACAAAAAATTGTTTACATCGGTGGCGACACAGGTGTCCACAAATTCGATTACCGTACCAAAACAGCCACAAACTTGAACATCACGGAAAGCAACATCTGGCAGATGTTTTACAAAAACGGCCTCTATTTCACCACTTATCCTGACCAGAAAGCGTTCGTTTACAAAAATGAGAGGCTTAGACTCGTGCCGGAACTGATGGACGTAAAGGCAACGCTGGTGGCCCTGGAAAAGGATGATAGTATAGTTTACTCTTTGGATGGGGACCTGAGGCGGACTTCGGAGGGGCGGGTCTACGAGCTGGGCTCGTACAATGTGAATGGTTTCAACACTGACGTCAACGGTGACTTGTACTTCTCGACATCGGATGCTATTTACCAGGTTAACGGGAATGCTGTGCAGAAGTTCGCTGCGTTTCCCGACATCTATGGGTTTGCTTTCGAGGGGGACAAGCAGATCATCTACGGAACAGAGAACAGTGTGATGCGCCTGACCCTGACCTCAGACATGTTCGGCGATGATAATAAAACTAAAGACGAGGAATCGAACAACGTTCCACAATAAATTGGCAAAGAAATTACAGTACCTCCATACAGGGATTAAAATGTTTACATACTAACACCTATGTTATAACAATAAGGTGCAATAAATGAATATGAATACGAATGCTTTTTCCTCAACAAAATTGTTAATCATCTAAGTATTAACAAATCAATTACTTAAAAGGTAAACAGTAACAACTATAGATAGCACATAACCTTGAATATACATAATACAAGTTTATTTACATTATAGCTGCAGTGTTTACTTACATAAAGGTAGGTAGGTACTTCATGAAAGATAATAGCAATATGGAAATAGATAAAATTATGTAAACAAGTCGTAACTGTAATACAGCGACTGAATGAACAGATAAACTTGAAATCGACAAGGTTAAACAAAGAAACAATATTATTAAAAGCTATAAATGCAATGGTTTTCAGAATCTGAACTCGGAATAGCTTAAATTTAAGTAATTTATGCCTAAAAATTGATGAAGGATTGATGGTGAAAACGGGGATAAGCCTTTTTCCGATTTTAGCAATTCAAGTAGGATTTTTGAGGATCATTCATGGGCGTACTCAGCTTCTGGCCTAGGTAAAGGGGCAAGTCATATTTTTAAGCCAGATAGTTTCACCTAGCTCCTTGTGACTTCCAGGGGTACTTATGCCCATGATTGTTATCCTCGCCGCATGGGTGATTCCACTGCTCAAACGCAACAACTTTAATCATGTCAAAATAAAAAAAACATCTACTTCTTCATAGGTGTGAATTGTACGAACTGGCTGATAATTTAGTATTGGTAAAATTATGTACTGTTTTATTTTAATATTTTTACTTTCTGAAATATCTGATAAACGCCATCTAGTGTTGTTGCTACGAATTAATTTTCAATGACGTCAGTACATGGATACGTTCACAAGAAAAATTTAAATCTACTACCCAACGATAGATGGCAATGCAAACTTCATGTTTAATGTTGCTACTGACCGCTAGATGTCACTATCAGGCCGAAACTTTTTGAGTTGGTATTTCGGATTGGAAATCTTCGTTTATTCATTTATCAAATTTTTGATTGCCACAAAATATTTGTAATTTATTTCTAGAATTTTGACTATTTCATCCTTGCTCTACTCATAGGTATATTTTTTGGTTTCAGTATTTTTTTCATAGATAGATAGCCTACCAAATATTGTACTAAATAGGTACCTATATTTACAAATAAAATCCGACAATTTGAATGTAATGCTTGCTTGCTACTTATCTAAAAAAACTTATCTAAAAAAAATCGAAGGGTAGACGGTAGATTACAAATAATATGCAAGGTAGGACGCGCCAAAACTCACGAGCAAAAAACTAAATCTTCAAAATTAAATTGTAACAATGTATGCCTCCACAAAGGATTCCGACTAAACGCATCAAACACAGAAAAATGTGCGTTTAAAACGAAGTGTCAGCAAGTCAATCTGATTATCACGCTCCTGCGAGCTCGTGAGAAGACATCTTACTAAACATTGTCCGGTGCGCGGTGTTGCCTCGTTATGATTTACCTCTAAAATAATTCTGCTTAATATAGTACTTTAAGCCTCAAAAGATTTTGAAATATTACGGATTAGAAAACCAATCACTTTTGCAGAGTAGGCTTACCTAGATACTATATTTACCTACGCAAAATGGATAGTTACATAGAGTTCATGGGTTGAATTAAAGAAACACGAAAATTGTATCAGAAAGACCCGTCGGCGAACTTTAAAAACTGTGTCAAAGTTCTTTTTTTATCAATTAGAACACTTTACCTAATAACAAAAATAATAGGCACCTGTGTGAGGACTAAGGAATATCTTATTAAAATTATTCCATGTCCATGTTATTATTAATGTTATAGCAACCCAAAAATCCTAAAAAAACTCTTATGCCATCGTGAGAACATGTCCGTCACGTCAAGTGTCACAAAGTCGCAAGCCTCGGTTCTGCGGCCCAGCGCACCCGCGGTGCTCCAACGCTTCAGTGGATGCACAGACAAGTGTTTTGCAAGTGTTTAGTTTATTCACACGACACTATTATTATTAAAGTAAGAATAGGTAATGTCTGAATAAAATAAATATGTAAAACTTTTGCGTTAAGTAACAGGTTTTAATGTAGAGAAAGTGTTTAGATCCATTTCAGTCATTAACGCCTGAAAATGCGATAATTTATTCGTATTTATAACATGATTTAGGTATATTTGTAAAACATCATTATTGTATTGCAGGTCGTTTTCTTCTTGGTTTTCCCTAATAACCTACTTCTGAAACATCATATTATTAAGAACTTTTCAAAAGCTCTTTGTTTAACAAGTGGTTTAAATTTAATCTCGTGTAGGTAATAATTACTTTGTTTTCAGGTGTACCTGTACAACATTCCCGAGCTGTGTGTAAATTGAGAGACTTTTTACAAAAAAAGCTTTTCAGAGTATTTCAGTTCAGCAGCAAAATAGATATTTTATAAGAAGAAGGAACCAAGTTATTTGAAACTAAAACAGTAAAATAAAAAACATCGCTAAACAAACAGTTTGTTGCCACTCAGAGAGAGCTTTTTCTGCTGTTTTCTTTTAACAAAACGGGCTTCAGTAGCCGTGTGTAACGCGATATGCGTATTTACACAACTGTTACTAGCATCGGATACTGCAGTGACTTTTTACCACCCTAGTTTGTTACAAAAAGTGTGACAAAATACTTATGTAAGTATTTTGAGTTCAGTATTTTTTTTTAATAACTTATTGTTAAAAATAACATTTCTATTTCAACAACTAAGCGATTCCGACTGATAGAGTTTTTTTTTAGTTTTTTTTTATGCTAGACAAGGCAGTTATTTGACCGCAATCGCACCTGGTGTTAAGTGAGATGCAGTCTAGGATGGTTGTATTGATGGTGGATGGGATGGTATGATGGTAGTTAAGCGCGTTATGTTGCAATTTGCATTTGAAGT